CCGAAAGTTCAACCTCGCTTCGTATTCATCACGTTATACCAAACACGTACTTGATTTCAGTGCACTAGCTCAGGTGACTTGCAGCTTCGAGAAGAGATGTAAATCGTTCGGTAATGATATGAAACTAGGCGGTGTTCACGATCGACCAGGTGAGAAACTATGAGGTTAATTTAAGACTTGATATTTCTTTTTCTTAGCCTTGCTGGCACCTAAGGAAAAAGTGATTTATAACTTGCCAACCCTAAAATATAGATGATATATTATACCGCCTTGTGAGAAAATAATGAAGCAGATATTTTCCTGAATACATTTTTGAAAGAACCATGCAATAAATTCCAATTATCACAAGTTATTTTTTTTTTATTACAAACAACTTATGATAGATTTTTTGCTCACACGTTTTATTGATTTATATTTCTGTGAAATTTCAGAAAGTAAATGGAATTTTGTTCAAAATTTTTTAAAAAAAATATTGTAATAACCATCGTTGATCGCATACGTAGTGTTAAGCTAAAAGTTTTTCATATGGTCGATAAGATGGTTGTGAATGAGCGAACATCAAGAAAAATTCTGTTTTGAAAGTTATGCAATTAAAGGTAATCAATTTTGAAAAGCAAAATAGTATAGTGATTACTTGAAAATATCTAGCACTATTGAATGTACCTGTCAATTATCGAGTTGGGATATGTTTGAAAATAAAATCCAAAACAAACATCGAGATAGAATTACAAGAAACAATAACCTTTGTTTCAGATGTTTTGTGAAAAAAATCGCTTGGTTCGAACATAGTTTTCATGACAAACTAACATAAGCTAGAGAACTGTTCTAAACGAAGCTAATAAACACTTGTTTCATGTTAGTTTTCAACTACTAACATGACAGTGTGTATTCACGCCTTTACATAAATCTTACCAAGAATATTTAGGTCTCCAAATGAACCCAATGCTCCAGACCAATGAGTCATAATCCAATGGGATGGATTTTCAACTTAATGATACAGCAGAATTTTAAAGCAAATTTATCATTAAATTACAGTAGCATCTCTGAATTAGTTGACTTTCTAAATGTTGAGGTCTTGGATTTCATTCTGTGTATGTTCGTGATTATAGATTTTTGTAAACCAAAGTGCACAAGAATAGATTAGTATTCCTTAATTTTGATAGGTCATCAACCAACATCAGTCACCAATGTCATTTATTTGAAAAACAACAAAACTCAAATTTTTAAGTAGTTAATTTTTAAAAAAATACTATACAGGAATCCATTCGGATGGAATGCGAAACTCTATGTATTATATAGACTAATTTTGTTTAGAGATTCACTGGAAACCAAGAAACACAGAATCTATACTTGATAGAACTTAGGACCGTTATGCAGTCAGTTATACGGACGCAACAAAGTCATTATCCTATAGTGAACATCAGCTAACTCCAATCTGTTTTCATTTAATCGATATCATCTGTTAACCTCTTTACGTCACATTTAACTGAATGCAAGGTAAAGAAAAAGCCTATAAATACGATGTGGCAAAATATGACATAATAACTTACTGGTTCTCTTTCGTTCTCCAACTATCATATCATAATAAAGACTGCATAAAAAAAGACACGAATAGGTATCATTTAGGACGGCGGACCAGCTTTTGTAAACCCAAATTAACATTGAGAAAAACATTTAAAATATGAAGTGTTACTTTCTGTTTTCTTACAAACTGAATTGCATAAATCAAACACTTAGTGGTCCCGATCTGACTAAGATTTTAACGAACGGACGATTAACCGCACATAACAGTCTTTCTCCTAATTTCGTATAACTCTATTTAGACTGACCCTGTGTAAGCAAAAACGGTAATAAGAAGCATAATACGAATAAAATTATAGTTTATTTCAGGCATTCGTTTGCTTAAATAGGAACTAAGATAGGAAGGAAAGAAAAGCTAGCCGACTCCACTTATTATTTATAGTCAGATATAAAAGCAAACTGAAGGTATGTTATGTAAGTTATGTATGTTATGTAAGCTGACATAAAAATAGTCAAGGTTATTAGGGGGGGTAACTGATATGATCATGATAACTGTAAATACTAATTGAATAAATTGATTGGCCAGTCCAAAAGCCAGAACAATCCGTGTAAGCATGACAACGTAATCACGCCGAAATGTAGTAAGTAAACAATCAGAATACGAATTGCTCGGTTGTATATTTTCGGACAGGCAACTGTTGATTGATTCCAGCTTTTAGTCCTCGCTAAATATAGCTGGTGTAAGAACTCTCGTAAATAAATGTCTAAAAAAATGTATTTAAAATGATATAGTTCCTTCCTCTATAGTGCTTTATCGGGTGTAGTATGAAGTCTAAAGGCTTAGAAAATAACTTTGGTGTGATAAGTGATTCACTAGAGGCGGTGTCTTTTGGTTTATGTAATCTTAATTTATAGACTGAATGACTGTTACTTCGAAAAGTCAAGCTTACTTGTTATAGCTGTGAAATTTGTAGGGGGAAAGAATAATTCTGTATGCGTTGTTTACTATGGAGAGTGGAATTATTATTCACAGTTTACTGTCTTTTAGATAATTAAAGATGTTATATAAATAATTTTCAAATGATTCATTATTCCAAACTGATCATCATTTCACACATTTTAATCTACACTCATGGATTGGTTTTCCGAGTATCATCATTTTACAGCATTTACTAAACAGAAAAGTATGACCAGCTGAACTAGTGAATACATCTCACATTGTTTTAATTTGTATAGTTAAGTGCAATCAATTTTAATGATAAAAGCATTCAACCTCAGTACAATTTCATCATCAAATAAACTAAACTGTTAGACACTATATATAAACATCAAAATAGAGGAGGTTTTGCCAACTTTATACAATATCCAAAATAGCTTCATGAAAGGGCTCATGACAGTCTATTTTTTAAATAAAGAATGTTGATAGAACTGTTTCGAGAAGAGCTGACGTGTTTTTCAAATGAATCGATAGTACCAGTTCACAACACGATTATCCCACTCTTACCATTTTATTTTAATCTCAGATCACTCTTTTATCTTCATAAAGCATTTACAACAGTGTATTAAACTATGGCATTATTGTCATTGTCATGAAAATAACTCTAATAAAACATTCGTAGAATATTCAGTAAACTTTTGGTAATCCTAAATAATTTCGGTTTTTCTTTCATACTGTACAATCATCACACACACACACACACACACGTTTGAAACACTAAAATCTTTCGTAATGATCACAAATTTTGAATACATTAGAGCTGTAATCAAACACAGAACTCATTGATTTCAATGTATGTTGATGACTAATACAATCTTAACTAAATATTTACGCATTATATTGGCTACTATCCTGATGAATTTACAAATGTAGAAGTCGAAAATGAAGCGATTGAAAATAATGAAGCCATAGAATGAAGAACAAGTAGTTCTATAAAAAAAAAAGATTATTTCTCAGTTCATAGAAAAATTCTGCTCATAGATAAAGTAATTTACGGAACATTAGCACAAACAAAGCTAAAATCTTATTCTCATTATGAAAAATCGCGTTTCATTTGTTTTGAATAGTAGTAATAATCAATACAAAACAAAGCAGTATCAAAGAGAATGAAGTTGTGTGGATAAATAATCACTTGGTATAAAATGAAGTAAGAAGAGTAAAAATACGAAGACATGATTGAATTAGCATTAAACACGTAAACAAAACCATTTCTTTTTTACATAAAAATGTCATATACTATTAGTTAGGGTTAGGTAGATTGTGTATTGCTGTCTGAACATTATGGTTTATGAAGTTAATTATAGTAGGATTCAGTTGGTTAACATCAGATTAATTTTTCAACATAGAGATTATAGAAGCCATTGGCGGTCCTGTTGTAACTTTCAGCATATGAATGATAGGAACTGCTTTGACTGAAAGAAAGTTTTATGGTTCTACTTCCTTTAACTAGACTGATCCTGTCATTATTATTACTAATCTCGAAGACTGATTTCGATCTATTTTTGTTCTGTTTTTATGATACTAACTTTCCTTTCTTTATCTCTTCAAAATCTCAGTCTTGTGTAGGGTATATATAGTTTATTATCCCTTTGTACCAATGTTTATGTCTTTAACTTATAATGAATGAACAGTACTGTTAAGTGTATATTCAGAGTAATATGATGATTATTGTTTAGAACAACACATATAAGCGAACAATATTGTTTTCGATTAGATCGTCATCAGGCTTTACTTTAATATACATGAATATTTATATGAAAATGTTAAACCAATCAAGGCAATTTGAGTGATAATCACAATGGAAATTTTCAGATAATAACAAGCACGTTCGGTAAAAGTGATAGTTTATCATTTATAACATCACATTGAAAATAATCCAATCCAATCCAAGCTATCAGTGTAGACATGGGTATCCGAAAACTATCGATCGATTATAAGACATAATAATAAAAGTCTATAAACTAGAAATGCACACCATGTTGACATCATCTTAGCATACCAGAAATAAGCAATAGTCAAATAAAATAATGACTGTTCTTTAACTAATAAAATAATATAATTCGTATATCTAATTACATTAAAGAATTTTCGAATAAGTACAGAATGTTAACAAGCCAGGCAAAGTTTATGTTAGTCCTAAAAGCGTATCCACAGACAGATTAGACAGAATTGAAAAATCTGACGAAAAATATTTGCAGTGATTACGTCGGAAGTAGCCCACCCCATGGTTTTGAAGCAACTGAACAAGGCACAAGCAATTTAGGTATTATATGACTTTTTTAATCATCATTTAAAGTAAAATATATGGCAGAATATGACTGTAATTAGGTGACGGTATAATCTTTGCAAATAGAGTTGAGATTCGATCTCAAAATATCGACAAGAGCCTATTTATTGACTACTAAGTGAATAAATCAATGTTGAAATTTATAAATGTTTATCCAAAAACAACTTACTAACAAAAAAGACTAAAAACAGTAAATACTATATGAAAGTGCTTTATTATAGTAATAATAATAATAACAGAAGAGATATACATGCATAAGCTACAGCAAAATACAGTAATAATTCGTATTTTTTTAAATAAAAAAACCATACTTAATCATTTAAAACAAATAAAGATTTTTTTTAACTATTTCAAGCTTACATAACCCATTCCATACTTATATTTCTATATAAAGAAGGAAAAAAAGTTTACCTTTATAACAAATTGGAAAATATAATTTTTTTCAATAAAAAAAAATAATAACTAAAGTTAGGGAAATGGGTACAGATCTAACTCTATACAATGAGTAGCATATATGAATAATATGGCTTAGGTATTGATTCTTTGTTCATTTTGGTCATACAACTGCAAGTATAGAATAGACCAATAGTTTAAACGACTATTGGTCGCAATACACTACACAATTACCCCTGTAGTTGATTAATTATACGGCTTCAATATTTATACACTGGGACCAGTAGAGAGAGAAAAGAAAACAACAGCTAATAGAAAAAAGTTGTGTTATTCACCGATTTTTTTTTCTTCCAAATAATAAATGACCCTTAGTCAATTGAAAAGGAAAAGACAACAACACTACATGTAACCAAATAATCACAGAATGAACCATAAAATAATGATAATAACATGGAATATACAATATATAGAGCGAGAAAAAAAAGTGGGGCAATGACAATGACAATAGGTTGTAAGTTAAATCATATGTATAGTTTGGTTAAAAAAAGAAAATGTTTTATGGGCAAAAACAAACAGACACACACACACGCACGCACACAAATCGATACGTGTAGTTCAGCTTCGTGTTGTTTGATCAGAAACAAAATTACCACCAACTAGTTGAGCCATTCCACGATTACCAACTATTTTTATTGCCGGATTGAACACCTGTTATACAAGAAAAAGTGAAGTTATGAATTATGTAAACATAGAGTTAATAAATAATTAAGGTTAAAAATGACACTTTATACACATAAGACGACATAGTTCTGCCTACATAACCAAGAGTTCATGTTAAAGCTGTGCTAAATTAACGTTATGATCGGCACAAGTTACTTAATTAAGTGTAAAATAAAGAAAAATAAGAGATTTTTCTAATACAAAAACAGAATCTAACACAACTAGGCATACTGGATGACTAAAACATAACACGTTAACGAAGATAATTCCCAGAGGATAAGAGAGAGAATGGAACTTCCAAGACCGCTTTTATGTATCAAGGAAAAACGAGATAAGTAAATACAAAATAAAGTCACCGACAACAATAGATATGGATTACGTCATGTTGCTACATTTTAAGTCACGACAGTGTCGAGACATGAAAGGTCACAATAATGATTGTTAATGAGACAACACCTCAATAAATCATAATCATATTAATTTGGGTCAAACCCAGAAAATACATAACCAGGCAATTCGATTAGCAAATAAAACACTATAATGATTAACCGTTAGACTCATTTACTGTCCTGATTACACCACAGTAGCTAGTAAATCATAGTGTATTTTAGCGCAACCTAACAAACAGTTGATCACAAAACCTATCCCTGTAATTCAATAACATAGTAATGGAAAATCCGAACCAACAGAAGTAAATTGCTGTATCAATCATTATAAGGGATATATTCAGTCATTAGTTTCTTAAAACAGTATATTTAATGGTAGAACAAACATCAGCGCACTACTAATTAATTGTCAAGTCAAATATTTATACTTATTAGTAAAAAGGAATTATGCGCGTTATATAGAAAACATAAACAAGATCATACGAATTATGATGAGCGAAAAAAAACACGCAAGTCACTAGACTAAACGGAAATACAAAATGCGGTATTTCAAAATTAGTAAAACAGTATACCTTTTTTATCACTAATTCAGCTGATTGATCGATGGCACTAGCTAATTCTGGCGCTCGACCAGTATAACTTAAAAATAACCAAGTGAACAATGATATTAGAGCAATATAAAATGGCAGAGCCAATATACCGGAAACCATAGATAAACCAATAAATTCTAATATTCCCGTAACAATATGGAAAATTAGTAGGACAACAGCCAAAACAGCGGGAGTACGAAATGTCTGAAAATAGAACAGAGAGGTGGATAATTGTATGAAAATACAACTGATGGACATACGGACAGCAGTTTTGAACTATAAGCTCAGCAACAGGTACTTAATCTGTTTGAGAGAGTAGGACATAAGAGGACAAGTGTTCTACCTAAAATAGCTCGGTTGGGCTACCACGAAATTCAAGCCCCAACACTACGTCGCAGTAATTCACAATTTTAATAAACACGCAACGTTTCAGCTTTAAATTTAACACCTCAAATTATTATTATTATTATATCATTCTCTAAAATGTCAGCCAGTCAGTTACATACGGTAAGTAAGCACAACCGCAATGAAAATCAAATTTTGGTATTTTGATCTCACTATGCTGATACAGTGTGGGGAATTGGGATGATGGATATTTGTCCATGATGAGTTTCTAACTGGCAGAATAAAGTATCAAGGTAGTAATTATGATTGTAGGCGCTCCTTCACCAAGCACTAATGAGTTTCAATCAGAAAATTCAGTAAACCCGGTGTTAATCGGTAACCTAATTCTCTTCTTCATTTGTAACTTCCTACTGAGAATTAAGGCAACTTGAACTAGTGTAATATCCTGTGATTAACACAGATATAGAAAACTTGACTATCACATTAGAACAGGCAGAAAATATGTGAATTATTCAACGAATCAGATTAGCAATTAACGAGTAAAGTGAAGTTTAGTTAGCCATGATTTCATTAATTCACAATTTTTCAATGTTTTATCTACTATTAAATTCAACGGAGTACTTCTGCAAGATAAAATGAGATTCTAAACTTAAATACTTGATATGACTCAGTGAATAAAAACAGATTTGTGCACGTAGGTTCGAGTTATATTTTATCTACGGGGATGGAACACTACCCAGCTGCCTAAACAGAAGTAGGCCACGCAGAACTTAAATCTGGAACTAAGAGGTTCAAAATCAGGTGATCTCACAGTTTACTTCCTTATTTAAGCATTTAGTCTACGTTCATAAAATTCAAAAAGCCGAATTAACAAACCGTTTTGCATTAGTTGAAATTTATGTTAACTGACTACTGAAAACGCTCTTGAAAATCAGATATACATGCCAATAACTTTTCTTTCCATTTTGAAAACGTGAATCGGAAGTTCGTGTTTCAAATTTATAAAAATATTAATGAAGCTATTATAAGAATACTTAAGCGTTAGATTTACTTCAATATTTACTGTCTATGATGAAATCCATGAGTTATAATTACACTATAACAAGAGTCAGAAAGACAACCAAAAAAATACATACACCTACTTGAAATATATCTTTTTTAGAATTTGACATACGATAATCTTCTCCCAGTTGTTTTAATGTCTCTTTTAAGCGTTCCAAATAATCTGCAGAGAATGCTTCACCACCCATCTTAGGAATTGTATTGAATTTCTCAATAGCAGCCTTATATATTTTTGCATGAGCTGAATCTAAATCAGCTGGATTGATGTATGGCCGATCAGGTCCACATATCTACGACAAAAAGAGGGCAAATTAAAGTCTGCTAAGTGAAATCTTAAGTAGACAATATGTACAATATATATCTTCGTACGTCCTTAGAATTTTAGATTTTTTTGTCTAAGGATAAGGAACACTTAGTTAAATGCATGTTATTGTAATTCAAAGCAATCGAATAATAGTAAGTGACGAGGTCATGAATACGATTAAATTGTCAAATTTACTATAAAGCACAATAGTATGTTACTTGATGTTCAGCTTTATCAACTCAATAGATTTAGTTGAAAATGTAAGGAGCTTATTGCTGTTTTTTTTACTATCAATTGAAAAGGGCTGTTAAGAGTGAGATACGTTCAGTTTTTTCTTAGATATGACACTAATCAAAGAAAGGTCTTTAATCCACTATAACCCGGTAAACTACCAAGTTGTTTGCGTAAGCATACTTTACGAAACAGCAAAAACATTATTCTACTGATAGATCCTGGAAAATACTCAATACAATGCATAAATTCAAAACTCAAACAAGCGTCTTTTCAAATCATTAAGTGATCGCATTAATAACTGAGAACTAGTCAAATCCAGTTACAACTGATAATATAACCCAGGAAATATCTTATAGAAAATAAAAACGAATAGTCTGAATGACAAGCATGCACACCTACACTACGCTGATGATTAGGATAAAACATCATTTACCTTGTTCATAGCCTCTGAATACATCTCTTGACAAGTTAATATTGCATTGAGGTTATTTGCCTCGGCAGTTGCTTCCAACATAGAACGTGGTTCTGGAAGAGTGTCACTTTCGTAAATTTTTATGTATGCTTTGAAATAAGTAAAAAGTTCACGACAAGTAACTTCTTGACCATTTATCTTTTTAACAACCAAATTAGCTGGAGCTAACAAGTGAGGGACCAAAGATATGAGATTTTCAACGAAATCAGGATCGATATCTTTTACTCGTCCATCAAAATTCGGATTTGTTGAGACTTTAAGACCAGGGTGAGGCATTAGGAAACAATCCAACTTTGAAAAACAAGAGCGAATATGACGGCGAACAGTTTGGTGCTCAGTGTGATGCTGTTGAACAATCTGGAAGGAAACACAAAATTCAAGAAACAAATATAAACTACAAGACATAATTGCCCGATGACCGGTTGTCAGATATAGAAACACACAATAAGACCGGTACTCCGTACGAATAACACTTAAAATGTATCATATCTTTGTGCTAAGTCGTTGAAAATTATGAACTACCCAACAATCAGTCAGTTAGTGACAATGTAGGACTTGAAATGTGCGTACATCAGATCAAGTCGCCATACCACATTAGCACAGAGATGGAACTCTCAGCTCAAATCCTATAGTAGTAGAGGTAGTAGAAGTATTAGCAGTAATGGAAAGGATTGGGGGTCGAAGATTTGATTCGAGAATAACACAGTGAAATAAATTCAAAAAAGGTTATGAGGAATCCAGAAGACTATAATTTGAGAGAAGACAAAAAATAGATGCATCTGCACCATTGCAAGCGATTTTCATCCATATCATTCTAAGTCTCTAACCATCGGTTACTATTGTCTCACAGACCCCAACCAGGTAGTCTACACTCACCAACATGACTTAATACAGTTGTCAGTGACTTCACGGATTTGTGCCATATTTTGGTTTTGCCGCCACTAGCTTTCTTTCAGCCTACTACTCATCGAGGTAGTCGATGTTTGTGCATAAGTAACACATATATGTACCAACCACCTCAAATAATAAAGATTCACCACTTCATCAACCGATTTACCGTGCTTACCTGGTACTCTTTTTCTAACACCAACAGTGCTTGCTCGACAGTCCCAGGATACACCGGTAATGCTTCAAAGACACCTAGGTTCGAATACTAGTAACCTACGAACAACCTGTTCTTGATGGTCATGTTTCATATCCGTAAAGTAGAGCGGAACGAATTGTAGCGCAACAAACTCATCGTCTTGTTGGCAGACGGATGCAAACTACTCACACTTTTATACATATCGTGAATTTTAAATCGCCAAGCCATGAAGACATAGGAAGAAACCAATGAATAACAATCAATAGAAAGGATAAAGACTTATCAATTTCAGCACCAATTTAAGAAAATCGAGTCAGGCTTTATGATGAGATGAAGTATAGTGAATGTGGACTGAAATGTAACAACTACCTAAATGAAATAAACATTTGAATTGGAATATTTGACACCAATTTGGCTTTGTGTAGAAACGGATTTCATTTGACCAACGTTAAAACTGTTAAGAGATAGTAGTTTGGCATGACTGTATTTGATAAATACACGTCAACAGAAATTTGACAAAAAACCGAAAGTATATTAGTGGCTTGATTAATTTTAATATGAATGTTTAAATGCATTGAAATCCATGGAGTTTAACAATGTTGTTGTAAGAACCACGTATGGTATGAGCTTTGGCTGAGTTTAAAAATAAATTTTTGATAACTTTCTGTAGCAGTTCGATGATGTTACTTAAGTTACAGTTAGTATGTAGGCAAGAACTAAGATCATGTAGATGACTGTTTGAATCTAATGGGTTACTACCCAACAGTTTATTCAGACACCTAGAACCGACTTCAATTAGCAACCTACTTACTGTGTAAAAGCCACTGACCACATGACAAACCTATCCTAGTAACAGTTTGCCAATGAAATCAACCTAAGAAAGGAAACCAGTAAATACGGACTCTATACATTATGATAGCAAGTGCTTAGAATCCAACGATGCAAACAGGTAATCATAGTGGCATGAGTAGAGTTGGAATTGATTTTCGGGTTGATGGATAATTTGAGTATTCAATGTAACTCGTTGTCAGATCCAGTAAACAACCTTTTATCATTCATCACTATAAAGACGATCACAATGATGTAGTGAAGACAAGATGTTAAGTTTAGTATTAAGCGGTGACAGTTTAGGAATTGGAATCAAGCAATTTTGGAGATGTGGGTGTACAATGAGATAAAATAGTGTCTGTTGATGACCACAAGGAATTTCAACATTACTGACGGTAAATGAGCGTATATTAGATGCTTATTTTTAGGAAAGTAATGTTTATCGAAAAAAGCGATTAAAAAAAGAGTTGGTGTAGTTTCCAACTTAACACCATTAAATGAATGAATGACACATTACAATCACAGTTGGAATGGATAATGGTCAACGAGTAATGCAAACACAATATAGCGTAGGACATACACCAGAAACGATTAGACTCTCACTCTACAATACGAGTGATGGAATCAACCTGAAAGCTAAAAATTGTTAGACCAAAACTTTTCTAAAATGAGCTATAAAACGAGATTTCTTAGAATGTCATAACAACAATGCATATGAATTACCTTGAGGCGAGTATCGAGCAGTTGATTACCACCATCATTCCCGAAATCATACTCATACGGGAAACTCCAATCACGAACGAGGAACAGCAAATGCTGGGCACCAAAAGTACAAAAACATGGAGACTTTAGAGCAGAATGATGTGATGACAAAATTTTAAAACTTACATCACGGCCGAAAAGCAGCAGTGAAGCAAGATGAACTCTAGAAATGATATTGGGGTAGTGATTTTCAAAGAAAACAACCATTCAGCTAGGGACTAAGGTACAGACAATGCTGCATCGTGAAATAATTAAAAGGATCTCTAGACACAGGGGAAAGTTAGAAATGGTGACCCACTAGTCAACGACTAAACAAAGATTATTAAAACTGATAAAATAAACCGCTAAATTTTCTGTCGCAGACGGTAAAAATATACAGCAACGAAGGAAATCAAATGATGATACAACAAAACACTCATTCCTGGGTAGGAGAAAGCAACATTATTTGAATATAGTGACTAATGATCTTACAAACCATTGCGTTTTACCATGACTATCTCTTTACTAGCTATTTTTGTCGTTTAAAATAACCACGTGATTAATTTTATCTGCCAGAAAATCAATGTGAAAAGCTCTGATATTATGGTTACATTACCTGACCACGATACGACTAATCATTTATTTATAACATCCATTTCTCTAGGTCGATGAACATTGTGTATTTGTGCTTAACACGGAATTTTCGCAGAGTTGGTAAATATCGGACAAAATGTAGACAACGAAGGCTATACGGAAAATGACTGTAACATGTACTTAATTGTAAATATTGAGTGCACTAACCGTAGACAGTAAAGCTCTTACCTGAAAAGGTGTTCCGGAAATATCAGACTCTAGAGCAAGACGACCATATTCAGTGAATAGATGCAAATGTTGCAAGTGATCTTCTTGAATGTTACCATGAATGTTGTAAACTTGAATACTGCTGACCATTGTACTCAAAGCAAAAACTGTAGCACACTGACGCACAGTACTAGTGCTATCAAAAGAACCCTTTAAAGTGGTAGAGTAAAAAGGATTAAAAGAAAATACTTGTGTGTCCATTAATAGAACAACTACTTCCTCTCCAGTGGGTAAAGTCATAAAGAATGGCTCGCTCCATAACAAGATCCCCACAGTGTCTCTTTCCGAACCACCTCGCCACGGGAAACCTTTTAAGGGTTTTTCAGGGTCGCCTAGCCAGTTAGTGCGGTCACTGGATAACAAATAACGCAGGAAAAAATCCAGTAGGAAGGATTTTCCCTGACGAAACGCACCAGCAACTGAGACCACAACAACTTTTTTGTCACGCACTTCTGGTCTTAGCAAAACTGAAGATAAAGACTCTTCATCCAGACTGAATGACGTTTTTTTCATGTATTCTTCAACATTTATAATTTGCACTGCATGTCCATCTGCAGCAACCATCCTCAATGTGAAAGTAACGCACTATAAATGGTTTCCGCGTTGTGTTGCCTATTCAATTTTCGACTTCAACTTAGGTCAACATAAGTCGATCACATAAATGATAATGATTGTAAATTCATGCAGAAGCAAAGTAGCGGGCTGAACGTGGGAATTTTACAAGTTTTACTTCGTTTTTCAGTCACTTAGACAGTTGTGGTCAATCTGATATTTAATGTGCCACAAAGCACTTCCAGACAAGAAGCCACAAACGAGACGCTTGAACTGGGCTATAGTTCTGATGTGGCGTAGGCTTCCTAGGAGAGAAAAACATTTTATGCTGCGAAAGGCTTTGGAACAACACAACTATTTGTCGCTCCTAACCGTAGGTTATTTTTGGTCACAGCAAATGATACTAAATTTTTACCACGTAATTCTTTCGATTGAACATACCGTATGTAAGAAGCTATATCTATTTATTCATTTTATCTTTACTAATAATGGTGAACCGAAAACGGTGAGGATCATAAAGTTGAACTCGTAAGATTTATTGAGAGTAGCTCAGCCATTTATTTTAGAATCTCATTATCAGAGGTGTTTATAATGTAGTAAAATAATCCAGACCATATTACAGAAACCCACCTATTCACAGTACCATGTGTTTACTCTTACAGAAGAAAATGGCTTCATTTACTTTAATCTTAATCCCCCTTAGTTTCCATTCTTTTCTTTTCTTAAAACCATCTGCTTCCTTTCTGTCCTCGCCTCTATAGATCTTTTAACGCCAACTGATGGGCATCTCTTTCTGTGATCTACATGATAGCAATTCATCTGAGTTTGAACTTTTCGTCTTGTTACATGAAGCCTTCGCTTTATGATAAGTTATTTATCGATCATCGTGGAGAATATTCAGGCTCTTAACAGCAACAACACTATTATTTCCTATTATCAGAATAATGTTTTAGGTTTTTATTTGATATATCTCACTAATAATATGTTTGGCAAAACTTTTATCATTACTGTAATAATAATAGTAATTTTTGTAACCGGATGTTGAAGATATAAGCTTGCCATTTTACAGCTTTGAAAATGAATTCACCAAAAAAACCTCGTCTCTAAACCGATCCTTCCGCTTTGGTATCTCAAGGGGCACAACCCGTTTAAAGTCCATTTTATTTGTGGATAAAAACTCTGTATTCTGCTATCTTATTTTCAGGGATGAATCGCTAGAACAATGGGAGCTTCACAGTCGTTGTTTCAGACTTCGTACATTCGGAGCTTTCTAATGAAAATATCTTTCAAAAAGCCAGAATCATGTTTTCCGTTGGTGTTATATCCTCAGTGTCAGTCTTGTTTTCGAGAATGAATGAATGAACCAAGTTTTTTTGCGTTCTAGTATTTCGATTCCACTCGGCTTGCCCCAGTCTCCGAACAAATTAATTAATCCATTATTCTTGAGTCATTATTTACAGGTCTTTCGACCTTGTCTATGATTCACTCATAACATTGGTTATTTTTATTTGAATATGTACATCTGTTGCTTCGCTTATCACACCCCTAGCTTGTTTTTTCGAACTATAAATAACTAGTCATGTCTTATCGCACTAAGCTGGCTCACTTAGCTTCTCCACTTCGCTTCGCCCTGCTAGTCCGCTTTCTATTCTCATATCTGTCTGAGTGAACGACTGCACGTAATAAACTCATTCAAATGAACCCATGCCTGGCTTCTTAATACAGCCGTCCTATAAACGGGGTCCGCCTAGGCAAGATACACGGAAACTGTAGGAAAATTTAATTTCATAGCATATTCAGTCGTCTCTACAAATTGGAGTCGGATCACAGGCAACAAAAAGATATTCTGTAAGCTTTTTGAGCTTATGATTGCATCAGTTATTAGAATGTATATTTTATTGGATATCTTTAATAAAGTTTTGAGCGAAATGAAGTTAATATGGGTATTTATTTAGTATCGGCCAGTGTGTGTGCGACGCCTTATAATATATCTCCACCAGCTTACACAGCCGTCAAACGTAATCTCTCATAGGAGCTTTCTGAAATATTCATATGAATCCTGGAATCATTGTTCAAGAAATTCGGAAGTGTGTCAAAACTGTTACTCAGTGTTAACCTTCGTAGTCAAACTACACCACGAATAGTGTAGACATTGCGCTTTTCAATTTATACTCTAACCTGATGTATTACATTGCCTGCCAAGTACCAAATACCGACCATGTCGTTCATAACGTTAATAAAAGTCAGAATAGTTTCAAGAGAAAGCCGAAGAAACTAAAATACGGCTGTTACAAACATCCAGAATTGTGTACAATTCATTACATACTTGGCTTAGTTGACAGTAATGAATCGTCACAAAGCCAGCACCCTTTAATTATAGATAATAAAGCTGTAGGTAGAGAAAACACGAACTTATCAATACTTCGTTTATTCGAATGCAGTGTTGAATTGAACTGTATTACTACAACCACAATCTTCGTAATTAAGTGCCATAGTGCTGACAAGAGTGATACTTTTAGCAAACACTTCAGCTACCTGATAGTAATAAAACAATTTATGTAGTCACTGAAGAAATGATTTGCAATACAACACAAAATGCAGGAAATACAAACTACAGCTTCAAGGGATATCACTGAAAACATCAAAAGTGTAGAATCCATTTTGAAGGCTTTGTTATGGGAAAATCCCTACATGCATATATTTGTGAAATGTTCTTACTGACTCTTTCTGTGCTACATTTTGGTACTCTGTTTAATTCCATTTTGGGATGTCAATGTTTGTATTTTGTTATAGTTTCTATTTTTCCCTACATTTGAGTTTCTGTTTCCTTCGGAACTGCATTTGTTGTTTGAATGGGCACTTACTTATGGCTACAGCCATATCGGATTTGATACCTTAGCGGGTTAAACGTGCATCCCGACTGGAAGGGTGCAGTTTGGACTGAAACGGAAGCATTCTCCCAGAATCGGAAACAAATTGTGTGATTTTGGACAGAAAACAATGTAATATTGTTTAGATAATTATCTGTATTTCCTTATTTGATTAATAATAGAACCTTCACTTACCTAGATAAATTGCTTTCTCTTTGGATTAACTGGGCAAGGCGCGTATCTCAACTTCTAGAACTGTTTTTCCAAACTCTGAATCCACGGTGGATTCAACAATAATTATTTCATTATGATAAACTTTTCACTGATTGCTCAATGTATTTAAAACTATGTCAGTGGATTTGATGGTATTTCTGCATCATTCATAAAATAAGATGCTACGCAGTTTCCATTATTCAGCTTAAAAATGTTTAACCTGTGTATGAACTTATCCATTTATGGGGAAAATATTTCCTATTACTCTCATGTAATACATTGTTATTTGAAAATAAATTTTATTATTTTTATTATCAAAATAATAGCAGTTTCATGCAGCAGCTCATTACCATGACCTTCCCGTATCAATAATGTTGGAAGACAATCGTCCAAAATCAGCTTTTGTCAAATCTGCTTTCGGTAAACCTGGTTGCTCCTTACCAACACAGGCTTCTGACCAAACGTTCCAGCTCTTCATCGGAATACGACTATTATGATAAAATTGACCGCGGAATAGATGTTAATCGTCTGTTCATAAATCCTTGCTTCGATTTTAGCAAGACTAAAACACATTCTGCATCCCCTGAACATTGTCCGATATTTGGGCTTAAGGTATAGTAGGAGCTTGAACTTTTCTGAACACATTAAGTATCAGGTGTCAAAAGCAAGAAAGGTCAGACGACTCGTTATGGTAAATTTCAAGATGACTGGATGCAGATAATTACAATTTAATAAGGTATCATATTTATTTTTGAAAGTCACATTCCAGCCCACAATGAGTTATGATGTGAGTCAGGGTCGACAGCGTCTGAATAATGAACGAGAAGTTGACATACGAAGCTGGGAATATATCAGTCATACTTGTATGCGCAGTGAGAAAAGTGGAGTTTGTGTAAAACAATAAGAACTGATTTGTTGATTGTTCACCTGTTTTTCATCAAACGCCAACCTCTGCCATAATGTAAGTGCTTGAGTGAGCATGAGGTGGGTTATATCGCCAGAATAGAGATCACAGTATAAATTTGGGAACATTGCTCTATGGAGTAGCAAACAAATAAGTGTAATTTTAATATCACTGATTAGTCAAATCACCAATCAAAAAGAGTTCAAAGAAAATAAATTGTTCTACCCTACCAACATTCATGAAATGAAGTCACCGTCCTTAGCATCAGTGTTTACTGGTCGACAACTCCAGCTCCCTTCCGTTTTTGTTGTTAGGCTCATTAAAAGTGATTGTAAGATAACACTTTATGTTATACTTGAAGCTCTTTATTCCACATCCTGTTGTGAAATGCTGTTTATGCAAGTTCCTCTTTACGAGCTTGTCTGGCTGTTACAACTTATTAACTATGGGTCAGACATCAATTCTGTACCATAACTTGCTACGGTGAAAAAGGAGGGTTTTCTGATCTACTATTAGCACTCAGCGTGTAGCAGAAAAAGGCTGTTTATCAAAATAGGCAGAAAAGCGTGAGAATGTTTAATTAATAAATGGGGCAGTGGATAAAGAGACGGAATTGATGCTAAGTCAGTAGTATTCACTGAATAAAGAGTTATGCTGAGCAACAAGTAACTCACAAAATTACGGGCGTTGACAGAACATTGTGCAGTTCAAACCTGATGACGACTTCCTAAGAGGAGTGGATGCACGACCACGGGAAGTGAAGTAGTAAATGATGAGGTTTGTAGAGTGGACCAGCCAGCTGCAGTCAAACATTGTCATTTGACCCCAAGAATGATCCGTTTTTTTCCAGGGAAAATTAAAGGGGGATATGTAGCCGAGTAGACGAACTTAATGCTACTTCAGCGAGAAAGAAAAAAACACAGCTCTGACTTCTATATAATTTGAACAAGTGGAAAACTAATAGTGTTCTCTTTTATACGTCTTTAGATCAGAAAACAGTGGTTTTGGGATTTAGATGCAGTAGCGAGTGCATGACGTTCTATGACGTGTTTATGCCATTCATACTGATTTTTCAAGTCTTAAGGTACGGGATATATTTGACATATATTGCTGAAGTCTTTCGTTATGCGAAATGTCTTTCTTTGTTAACGTACGTTAGTTCCGGTTTTCGCTTGATATGAGGAGTCATTGTTTTGAAAGCCATTTTGGAGCGCATAATAGTTTCTAGTGCAAGTGTTAGTGTTAGAGTCACTGGAGGCCATATTTATGGGCAGATTTCGAGGTGCTCGGCATCATTGAAACGCATTGGACACAAGTAGGACAACTGAGACCAACTTCAGGGGAACTGCTGTTATACTCTGGTCATGAAGAGGAAAATGCTTCACATACACAAGGAGTTGCACTGATGTTGTCCAAACGTACACAAAAGGCACTGATAGTATAGGAATCTCATGGACCGAGGATCATTAAAGCATCCTTCAAAACAAAGAAACAGGACATTACAATGAACGTCATCCAATGTTATGCACCTACCAATGACTACAATGACGACGTTAAAGATCAATTCTACGAAAGGCTGCAGTCAATCGTCGAGAAATGTTCACCAAAGCATTTGACGATTCCTATGGGAGACCTGAATGCCAAGGTTGGCATGGACAACACTGGATATGAAGACATCATGGGACGACATGGACTGGGAGAAAGGAGCGAAAACGGTGTGAGATTTTCAAACCTATGTGCCTTCAACAAACTGGTCATTGGCGGAACAATATTCCCGCACAAACGCATTCACAAAGCCACATAGATTTCACCGGATCACACTACTCAGAACCGAATCGACCATATCTGTATCAACAAAATGTTCAGAAGGACCATGGAGGATGTGAGAACCAAGAGAGGAGCTGACATAGCTTCAGAACACCACTTGCTGGTCGCCAAAATAAAAATGAAACTAGAGAGGCACTGGACAACGGGGCAGACAACATCACAGCCTTCCTTCGGGATACCGTAAAACTCAAGGAATTCAATATAGCCCTCACCAATAGGTTCCAGGCCTTTCAGGATCTACTCAATGGAGAGGAAGCAACACTGGAGAACAATCGGAGAGGGATTAAGGACGCAATCACTTCAACATGTCAGGAGATCCTTGGTTGCAAGAAGCACCATCACAAGGAATGGATCTCTGTTGGTACTCTTGCAAAAATTGAAGAAAGGAGGAACAAGAAGGCAGCAGTGAATGTCAGCCGAACAAGAGCAGAGAAAGTTAAAGCACAAGCTGAATACACGGAAGCAAACAGGGAAGTGAAGAAGAGCATCAGAGCTGACAAACGAAAATATGTGGAAGATCTAGCAATGACGGCGGAAAAGGCTGCAAGAGAAGGAAACTTGAGACAACTGTATGAAACAACAAAGAAGCTCGCCGGAAACTATCGTAAACCAGAACGACCAGTGAAAAGTAAGGATGGCAAAATAATCAGCAACACTGAACAACAGCGAAATAGGTGGGTAGAGCACTTTAAGGAACTATTGAACCGACCAGCTCCACTGAACACACCCAACATCCAAGCAGCATCCATGGACCTCCCAATTAATATTGGCGCACCTACAATTCCTCCCGAATTGTATGGCCATCAGAAAAATCAAAAGCGGCAAAGCAGCAGGACCACACAACATTCCAGCAGAGGCAATGAAAGCAGATGTAGAAGCAACTGCGAAAATATTTCACATCCTCTTCAAGAAGATTTGGGATGAGGAACAAGTACCATCAGATTGGAAAGAAGGATACCTAATCAAAATACCAAAGAAAGGCGACCTGAGCAAGTGTGAGAACTACAGAGGCATCACTCTTCTTTCAATACCAGGCAAAGTCTTCAACAGAGTATTGTTAAACAGAATGAAGGACTTCGTAGACGCCCAACTTCGAGATCATCAGGCTGGATTTCGTAAGGATCGATCGTGTACTGACCAAATTGCTACATTACGGATCATTGTGGAACAAGCAATTGAATGGAACTCACCACTCTACATCAACTTCATCGACTACGAGAAGGCATTCGATAGCGTGGATATGAAAACACTGTGGAGACTTCTTCGACACTACGGTGTGCCTGAGAAAATAGTTAACATCATACGGAATTCTTATGATGGATTCAACTGCAAAATCGTGCATGGAGGTCAGCTGACAGACTCTTTCGAGGTGAAGACCGGTGTCAGGCAAGGTTGCTCACTGTTACCCTTTCTGTTTCTCCTGGTGATCGACTGGATTATGAAGACGTCGACGTCTGGAGGGAAGCACGGTATCAACTGGACAGTTAGGACGCAGCTGGACGATCTGGACTTCGCAGATGACCTGGCTCTTCCATCGCACACGCAACAACAAATGCAAATCACTCTTGATGGAGATACCTTGTAGGAAGTTAACAGCTTCACATATCTTGGCAGCATCATCGACGAGGAAGGTGGATCCGATGCAGATGTGAGGGCGCGGATTGGCAAAGCGAGGGCTGCATTTCTACAACTGAACAACATCTTGAACTCCAAGTAACCATTAACCAATACCAAAATCATACTTTTCAATACAAATGTCAAGACAGTTCTACTGTATAGAGCGGAAACTTGGAGAAATACGAAAGCAATCATCCAGAGGGTACAAGTGTTTATGAACAGTTGTCTACGTAAAATGCTTCGGATCCCCTGGCCAGACACCATCAGCAACAACTTACTGTCGGATAGAACAAACCAGATTCCAGTGGAGGAGGAAATCAGGAAGAAGCGGTGGAAGTGGATAGGACATACATTCCGAAAAGCACCTAACTGCGTCACCAGACAAGCCCTCAAATGCAACTCTCAAGGTGAAACGAAAAGAGGAAGGCCAAGGAACACATTACGTCGAGAAATAGAGAAAGATATGAGAAGAATGAACAAACATTGGACAGAACTGGAGAGGGAATCCCAGGACAGAGTTGGTTGGAGTAAAATAGGTGGGCGGCCTATGCTCCGTTGGGGGTAACAGGCGTAAGTAAGTAAGTAAGTGATCCTGGACTCCAGATGGTTGAGATGCAAAACTGTCAGGGTTACTGATGGTGCGGTTTTGTCTCAGTGCATAGTGTCCCGAATCTCTATCACATTCTATACAACTTACACCACAACCTTGTCTTTGAATAGGAAACATTTTGCGTCCTAAGAGCATTGCTAGAACAAACCGTTTGAAATCTGCAAGCGTTAGATCAGTGCAAACTTCGTGCATCATCCTTTGCAGGTCATGCCATTTTCCATGATGCATCGATAGCACGGGAGTTATCTTTTGCTTCTTTCGCATCATTCGGTCATTGAAAATATGCTTTTCAAATGGCTCAGACTTGAAGTAGATGGAGACTAATAATATTGAGTTCAAAGTGAAACAGGAAGAAAAGAATCACTGCACTTAATAAAAGTGCAGAATAAAGATCGCTTTTGAAAAAAGCGATGCTCTTGATGTGACGTTAACTGAAATAACCTTAAATAAATTGACAGTAGTGATTCTGATGAATAATAAAGAATGAAAACTAGACATTTAACCTAATGAAGAAAAATACCATTGTCTAACTATTAGAGAAGGGGACACTTTTGATTCAGTTTTTTCCTTAAAACTCATTTCACGGTGAGAACTCAGATCATATATCCTATCTGTTGATCACCGTTAGTCTTCCACAATGTTCTGTAAATGTAAATATAGTTTTAAAAACCCCGTTGTAACTTTTCATCCAGAAATGTCTCCGTTAAGAACCTAAAAGACCCAAGAGTTAAGATAATTCTTACGGTCACTCTATTTGACCTGGAGACTTGAAATAGTTATATATTGATAATCTTCAGGCGCTGAAATCAGATTATGCGTTCCAATGTAATGTTGTAACATATTCGTAACCTTATTTCACCAAGTTCTAATTTCGATTATCACTTTGTCGACATCTTATACTTGCGTTATTTCTGATTGTTTTCGATTGCTTACTCTATTAGATGTAAGTGTACTATATGTGCTTACTGAGTCATCTGCTCACCTCTTCAGTTGTTCTTTCCTCTTCCAGAAAACCTCACACTACCCAAGCACACTTGGTACCTTTAGGCTAAACGCAAACTTACTAAAGGCTGAAGTTACAATGTGTTTAGAACTGTTGGTTTTTCAGGTGAGATACGTTGTAAATACTTTCGAATATGGTTGCGTCTTTTATCTTAATGTTAAGCCAACCTGTGTTTAGCACCCTGATTATCAATAAATCACTGTTTTATTTATTGACGAAAGAAACGAACTTCAAGAAGCCATCGTTTAGTGTACATATCGTGAAGGATGATAAGTCAGTTACTATCCCTTGGTGGAAATCATTTGAAGTATTAATGCTCTGTAAAAGGCCATCTCGACGTTTCTACAAAAGACTCACGGCGTACTCTTAGCTCTCATCCAAGATACAAAAGTATCATGGCTAAATTGAAGCAAGAAACTATCAAGATTCGGAACATCAGCTAGGGTTTTCGATCCCGGCCATTCAGTACCGTGTTGATTAGGATACTGGTACTTTTAAATAAGTTTATGGTGTGAACCTCTATTTTTTTGTCAGGCTGTCTTTAGAGCTATCAACTATAGGCTCGCGAAGTCGTAATAGTTAGAGAAACAGTAGGTGATATAGTAATAAGACTACGAATTAGAAGAATGTAAAGTAAGTTTACATCTAAGTATTCATAGTCTCTGGTATTATTTCCTCCCCCATTTATCATTCGTTTGATCCGCTTTGTTTATATGCTGATGGTATGCGACTGTTTGGACTGATTTATCAGTGTTAAATACTACATGAATAATTGATAATTAAGCGTATCTTAAACGTTCACGTTGTGAAAGTTCTAGTGAAATTAAAGTATATCTAGCAAACGCGTGCACGCATTTTTTTGTTTTAAGTTTATGATATAAATAATCTATTATTCTTGAAGCAGTTTTTAATAAACTAGTGTTGATTACTAAAATTTTTTGTTTCAGTAATGTCGACCTATGTAGATATATCTACTGTGTTCAATTTCGATCACAGAGGTCAATATGTGGAAATTTCCCCCGATAGGACAAAAGCTCGCCGTCAAATCGGCTTCTGTGACGGTGTGGTTATTTCTCAGAGTTTCATCCGACCAGGTGAACTAGTAGCTGTTGAAATTACGGAAACACAGCGCGGTTGGACTGGGGATTTAAGAGTTGGATTTACTTTATTACCAGACAATATGCTCTTGCCTCTTCCCAGGTAAAATATTATAGTCTACTAAATAATTTGTTACTTCCTCGTGTAATTATCCACAGCCTTACGACACTCTGATTTCCAGTAACTGTTTCTCTTAGTATGTAAATAGGTTTTATTTTTGTAGTAGTGGCAATATTCTATGTAATTTGGACTCTGGTTTATACTGTTTCTATAAAAATAATAGTTTTTTGCTATAATGAACATGAAGTATACTTGTAAACTTCATAGACTATAGGTAACTTATAGGAATCACTAAACTCAACACGTCAACGTGGTTATGGCTTGTTTTCCTTATGATGATGGCCTTCCATTGCGGAGTCATTTAGTTTCTTATAGTTAAATATAGTTTCAAAGAACAGTCAGTTAAGTTTTCATCAACTGGTTGTTGAATCCAATTCATAATAAAAATCAGGGTAACAAGTTTGATCTTGATAAGACTTTGATCTTACTACTCTCTAGCTTATAGAAATTGGATAAGTACGACGTAGTTTCGGTATTAATAAATAGATTGATTTTTATTTATATATTTATAGTTAAATAAACATCCTTTTTATTTCTGTTTCGCTGTATTTGTCGTTCCATGTAAATATTTTTCACTTTGCTTGTCCAGAAATCGAAATGGCTACCTGAACTGATGTGTGTATCAGTCAGAAATCGATAGTGTTTTATAGATTTTCTTTATGTATGTGTTCCAAAGAATAATTTATATGATATTGACCATCAATATTATGTGGGCTACAAGTATCACTGATGATTTGTTCGATTTAAAAAGGAATCGGTACAGCACATTATAATTTATGGCTCAGAAGTTGGAGGAGTGCTGTCTGAAAAAATTACTGAAATCTGATAAACTGAAATGACAACGGCATAAAACCTGTGTTTGATCGATTTCGTAGCATACAACTATTTTCTGTTTACAATACAAAACTGCATTCGCTACAGTTTCCATAATAACATTTCTGGTAAAAACGAATTAGGAATGATACATGGATTCTAATAGATTAGACGAAGACAAAAAAGTAAAAACAGTCTCTTGAAAACCGTCTTTAAAAAAGCCAAACCTGTGACTCGTTTTTGTAATTGTACTGGTAAAAATCTGTTCGACCGCTCATAACTAAACACATGATCTGGTTTCCACTTATTACATTATATTTTTGAGTTAAAGTGATATATATATTAAAGTGATGTATTCGAGCCCTTATCTCTCCGATTACTGCTAATACTTTTACTACCTTCACTACCATGGGATTTGAATTGAAAATTGCGTCCCTGTGCTGATGTGGTATGGAAAATGGAACTGATGTACGTACGTACGAAGTTCTACGTTGTAACTGACTGATTGATTCTATTTCGGTTTATTTCGCGTTCATTATTTACTTATTCTATGACTTGGCGTCTCTGGTTTCGCTGATTGTACGTTCGCCCTGCACTATTAACCTTGAATCAGTAGCTAAGTTTTTATTGGTTCATGATTCTCTAGCTTCACTCTGCACCCTACCCTGAAGTCCAAAAGTCAGCAGCCAACCCTTTATTTACATTTCAAACAAAAGTAGTTTATATAAAAACATACTAGACCGCATCCTATCATTAAATAAAAAGTAACATTATCCATGAACGAGCCAAAAAGTGACTAACAGATTAGGACTGGTAAATCGTACAACAGTACTTAATGGATCAACTAAAAGCTTATGACAGAAGTAATATACATACAGTAACTTAATTCAGTCAGTCAGTTGCAACGTAGAACTTCGTACGTATAGTACATAAGTTCATGTTGCCATACCACATTAGCACAGAGACGCAGATGTCAAATCAAATCCCACAGTGATAAAGATAGTAGAGGTATTAATGGTAATGAAGAAGACTAGGGTTCGAAGATATTATTCAAGAAGTATAATTCAGTGAGATAAGGTTAGAAAAACAAAGGTAGAGGTGCTGACGAATCCAGAAGTTTAGGATTCGAGAGAGCTCAAAGAATGGATGCACTTGCGCCATTGCAAACGACTTTGAGCCATGTCGTTCAAGGTCTCTAACCATTGATGACTTTCGTCTCGCGGACCCCAACCAGGTAGTCTATATCTACCAACACGACTCAGTCCACTAGTCAGTGACTTCATGGATTTGTGCCATGTGTTGGTCTGGCCGCCAATAGCTTTCTTCCAACCTACTCCTACACCACAAAACATAGCTCGTCGAGGCAGTCGTTGGTTAGGCATACGTAACACATGTCCCAACCACCTCAACTGAAGTTTCACTACTTCATCTATTGATCTGCCATCCTTACCTAGTACTCGTTTCCTAACTACAGCATTGCTTACTCGGTTGTCTCACGATATACGAGCAATGCTTCTTAAACATCTACGATCGAATACTAGTAACCTACGAACATCTACTCTTAACGGCCATGTTTCACAGCCATGTAGGAGAACGAAGCGAACTGCTGCGCAGTACACCCGTCCTTTGGTTAGTGAACGGATATCACGCCTACGCCATAAGTGACGCAAGTTGGAAAAAGCCAATCGAGCTTTCTGTATCCGAGCTGAGATTTCGTCAGTCACCGGGCCATCGGCACTGATGAGACTCCCCAGATAAGTGAAGCGATCAACGCACTCGACTACTTCACTTCCTATTACTAGTTCAGGTGCCTATGCAACCCAGTCTTGAAGCAACATTTTGCATTTCGAGGGTGAGAACCGCATCCCGAACATGCTCGCATTGTTGCTTAGGGTAGTCAGAAGACTGCATTTTGTCAGCGTCTTCACCGAATAGAACTATGTCATCGGCATATTCTAGATCAGTAAGCGACTTTCCTGGTAGAAGGTCCATCCCTGAAAAGTCTGACGAGCTTAATGTAAGAGGATGTCTACGACAAAGTTAAACAAGAGTGGAGAGAGTAGACAGCCCTGACAGACACCACTTGATGACAGTTCGCCATATGCTCTCATCCGACCAGTAGTGTTCGAGTAGAGAGCTTGTATGAGGTTAGTGTACTTCTTTGGTACACCTTTCAATGACAGACACTGCCACAGAACCTCACGATCCACTGAGTCAAATGCCGCCTTAAGGTCCAGGAAAACAACTATTGTAGGACGCCTAAATGTGTGTCTGTGTTCCAGGACCTGTCGTAGTGTGAAGGTGTGCTCTATACATCCACGTCCAGGTCGAAAACCAGCCTGGTTTTCTCGAGTCTGCTCTTCGCGAGCTCTAGTTAGACGTCTAAGTATAATCGAGGCTAACAATTTAGAAACTATATTAGTTAAACTTATTCCCCTGTGATTGTCACAAGAAGACTTCTGTCCTTTCTTATAGATTGGGACAATCAGTGATTGAGACCAGTCGGATGGGATTACGCCCAGTTCCCAGATTCTACCTAGGATTCCAGTCAAACTAGCTGCTAAAACTGGACCACCATCCTTAAATATCTCAGGGGTCAGTCTATCAGGACCTGCAGCTCGCCCTCGCTTCAGATTTCCTAACGCTTTCTCAACTTCGTAAAGACTAGGGGGACTTACATCGATTTGCCCTTCAGGATGACTGGAGATCGTGGGTAACCGAAGAGTGGCTCGAGGCCAGTTGAACTGATCCCTAAAGTGTTCTGCCCATCGATCCAGTCTCCTCGATTGAGAATAAATAATAGTCCCATCCTTTTCCGAGATAGTCTCACTCACATATACCGGTTTCTTTAATAAGGCGGAAGAGTTGTCTAGTGTTGCCTATCGCGGCTGCCTTTTCCATCGCTTTTGCTTTCGCCACCCACTACTGTTCACGGTCGTTACGTAGACTTTTATAAGTCTGCGCCTAAGTTGACTTCGTTCTTCATCATGTTCAGAGCCAGGTGGGATGCGTTTTCGAGCATCCATCAGTTCGGTGGATGCGACTGAAATCCGCGGCTTCATCCTAGCCTTATGGTTTACCTTGCTAGCAGATATCACTGCTGTTTCCACAGCCTTTTTGATATCATACCAACCTGCTTCTGGATGGGAATCACTTACATCGTTGCTTAACTCTCTTTCTAGTTGCTCCTGAAATATTTTCTTAGCTTGATTATCATCAAGTAAAGCCCTAAGAGGCTTCCTTACGGTATCTTCCCTACGTCCAGTAAGCCTCAAACAAATACGCGCTCGCACTAGGGCATGCTCTGAATCCAAACATGTGCCCCACAACGAGCGACAGTCTTCTGTCGAACCCCTCCGTCGGTGGCTGATGGCGATGTGATTTAGTCTCGTACAACGTTGAGACGACTTTGGAGGTCGCCAGGTCAACAGATGCTTTTCCTTATGCCTAAAGTTAGTGTTTGCTAAGAATAGGCGGTTGTCTAAGCATACTTGCAACAGACGGTCACCATTGTCTGTTCTCTGAGCCGCGACACTATAACATCCACCTAGGTGTCTTTCATTTTCACTTAGTCTATCTACTTGAGCATTGAAGTCACCAGCCATTATTACTATATCAGAGCGCCTAGCTTTTTGGAGGAGGTCCGAAAGCTTTCTGTAAAACTCATCTTTAACCTCGTCTGAACTGCAGTCAGTGGGGGCATAGGCAGATACGATGAAGAGACAACGGCGAGTGTCCCTATCTTTCCGAGTCCTTACTGTCCCGTTTAGTCGGACGGCGCACAAGCGACTATCTACAAGGATTCAGTCTAGGAGCGCTAGTTCTGCACTACGACTCAATGCTATACCTACACCAGCAAGACCCCTGGAAGCAGCATCATGGCTACCGGATACACGAAGGGTAAATCGAGTTGCTTTATCTTGACATGGCGAGGTCAAGTGAATGATGTTACTCGGGTCCTGTATGCGTGTTTCCGAGACGCAGCATACATCGATGGCACGAGATTCTAAAGTCCTAGCTAATGATGCCTGTTTCCCTATTTGACACAATGTCCGTACATTAAATGCTCCAACATGTAGTCTAGAACGGGGTTTAAGGAGACCAGGAACGACCTTTCGGGAACTCGCATCGTTTGCACTAGCTGTGCACTGTGATAAATGAATATGAGAAGTTAGTCGTGGAGATAAGAGAGGTATTAGGGGGTATAGGAAGGATTTGATTTTGACCAATTTGGTCTCGCTTGCTGTTACGGGTATGAGGGCGGTTGTCACTTCCCGGCTGCCTACACCGTGGAAGGTTGTTTCTTGAGGGACCTGGAAAGGAAGATAGATTAGTGTTGGTTTAGGAGACCTGGGTGCGTGACCGCAGAGTCCAAGGGACAACTGCTTGAGGCCGGTCACACACGGCCTTTTTATGAAAGGTATTTTGAGGATTAGCTCCGTTCTTAAAGGCCCTTAGTGGGCACCCTTATCCAAGGAGACGGAAATCCGTGAGTTAGGGTGAGGTGTGACATTTTTAGGGTTGACCTTTTCTAACCCCCACCTTCCTTGTGAGTATGCAGCATCGCTGAAGATGCTGGTTGTCCGAGGGAAACACCTTACTGCTGTCATACCTCTCTGCAGTCAGCAGTACGACTTCGCCCACAGACCTTGGGTAGCTGCTTTTAGTCTCATCGTTCTCCAATCGACCTGCCTGGCATGGTAGGACCTTCAGGAACATATGTTCCAGCCAATATAGCTCGGTTGGGTAATCACGATAGGCAAGCCCGACCACCATGTCAAGGTAGCAGCTTCGGTCGGGATAGTAACCTAATTACTTGATAATTATGCAGTAATAATACGTATAATAATAATCCATAAGTTACTTCTAATTTTACTGTTAAACAATTTAACGTTTTTTAGTGATGTTATTCAGAAGGACAACGGACGCTAAACTAAACTGTTCAGCTCAGAGACCACAAAGCGTTCAACGTGGAAAGAATTTCTTGAGGCTATTTTTTAGTTTGGGGTTCACCTTACTAGTTTTTAAATCCAACATGTTTTAATGGGCGAACGGGATCATTATCTAGTACGCTCCTAATAAATTCTCGCAAAGTTTTCGTTTGCGTTAGATTAGTAACTAAAACTAACTAAGTACCAAACCGAAACTCAATTCATAGATGTGAATATGACAAACTGTTTTGGTGTAACTGTCGAATTTCCCGTCACTTAGTGTTGTTTTCAATTTAAACATGGCTCAATAGTAGTAATATTTTCGGTACTACAAATATAAGTACTATCTGCTGGCCGTTGAAAATTATTCTTTAGTTTTTTACCTATCTTTTGCAAAATCAACTGTGATCTCTGCTTTTTGTTATTAACTGCATATCTTCAGAATTTATTTGTCAGGATATGTAGCTATTAGGAATGCTTTCCAGTGATGACAGTTAATTACTTATTCTATTTTCAGGTTTGCCTTACCAGCTTTAGTTTCTCCAGGTAGAAGTTGGATTGTACCGGTTGGAACTGCTGTAGCTCTTCTCTTGTCGCATCATCATCAGACCTACTGGAAGCGACAACAATTGAAATCCAGTCGTCATTTGAGTAAAACCAATAACAACCCACCTACACTGTTTGATTCAGTTAATATATTCTGTGAAAGACAAGTAGATGTACCCAACATGAACCCAATTAGTAGTGTTATCAGTAGTCCAAATGTATTGGTAACTAATTCTCATATGGATAAACAATCTGTACATTTACAAGTTACTCCTTCCTTCTTCTGTGTTTGTTGTCTTCATACAAAGCGTGGTCGAGTACCACTGAGTCAACTAATACCATATGAACTAGAACTTGCCCGACCTCCTGATGTTGAAAAGGGTAGTGTTATAGCCATTTACTATGAACTGGAACCAATACCTACAGATGATTCATATGGACAGTGTACAAGTCTTCCAGTAGATAGAAATATGAACATACTTAATGATATTAGCAATATTCCTTCTATAATACCAGATGAAAATGTACAGAACCTTCTAAGGTACACTTTAAACCCTACTGGAAGTGAAGAGGATTCAGATACAGAGAAGCTGCTTTTTCTTTTTCGGTTTCATATCGTAATTAACGGCATCGATATGATTGCGATAGCAGTAAGTCATACTTCATGGAAATACATTTTGATGTCGCTTAAAGAATGTTTTTTAGTAATTGTTTTTTCACAATTTGCGTTCCCTATTTATCGCCCTTAAGATGATACTTCGGAACTAGTCTTCTCAACAGTGTTACAGTGGCTTAGTGGTTGAGGCATTCGATTTTCAATTACAAAATTTTCGGTTCAAACCTCACCCAATTCCGAGCCATATCACTTTAAGTGTTTAGTCGCAGATTCTGATGAAATCAAGCTTCAGATTTCAACTAAATGAACATCAAACGACAAGACCGCTGTTCAAATGACTGTCAGTCAGATGCAACGTAGAACTTCGTACGTAAGTACATCAGTTCATGTCGCCATAACACATCAGCACAGGGGTGTAATTGTCAATTCAAATCCAATAGTAGAAGAGGTAGTAAAGGCATTAGAAGTAGTCGGAGAGGTTAGGATTAGGAGATATTCAAGAAGTATGATTTAATGAGAAAAGTTTAGAAAGTCAAAACTAGATTTGTTGAAGAACCCAGAAAGTTAGGATTTGAGAGAACACAAAGAATAAATGCACCGGCGCCTTTGCGAACGATTTTGAGCCCGACCGTAGCTGCTACCTTGACATGGTGGTCGGGCTTGCCTATCGTGATTACCCAACCGAGCTATATTGGCTGGAACATATGTTCCTGAAGGTCCTACCATGCCAGGCAGGTCGATTGGAGAACGATGAGACTAAAAGCAGCTACCCAAGGTCTGTGGGCGAAGTCGTACTGCTGACTGCAGAGAGGTATGACAGCAGTAAGGTGTTTCCCTCGGACAACCAGCATCTTCAGCGATGCTGCATACTCACAAGGAAGGTGGGGGTTAGAAAAGGTCAACCCTAAAAATGTCACACCTCACCCTAACTCACGGATTTCCGTCTCCTTGGATAAGGGTGCCCACTAAGGGCCTTTAAGAACGGAGCTAATCCTCAAAATACCTTTCATAAAAAGGCCGTGTGTGACCGGCCTCAAGCAGTTGTCCCTTGGACTCTGCGGTCACGCACCCAGGTCTCCTAAACCAACACTAATCTATCTTCCTTTCCAGGTCCCTCAAGAAACAACCTTCCACGGTGTAGGCAGCCGGGAAGTGACAACCGCCCTCATACCCGTAACAGCACGAGAGACCGAATTGGTTCAAATGACTGAATGATTATTAGTTAAATACGTATGTTACTTATGCTAAGAAGTCTCAACTTAGATAAAGCCACTACGAAATACTAATTAAATGGTAAATAAGTTAATATAGAGTGTACACTAAAGTTACTGAAAATTCAATAAGACTAGATTTCTAATTATTATTCTAGAGAGTTATTTATCCATTTCTGCTTGAATTATAACAGGGAATGATAGCTTTTATGTAACTTTTCACTACAGGAAACAGTGGCTATTTCACCGTCTGATTTTGAAAAGAATCTAATCAACATGGACTCCTCATTTTCACCTGTTAATAATGAAGACGAAAGACCCAGTGAAATCTCTGCGTCGTTTTCAACTTCAGATCGTCATTCTTTTGATACTATTCCTTCTTCCACACCACGTATGCGGGCTGTTTTTGACGTTTACGGTCAAACTAGAGCAATTCAACTGCGATCATTACAGCAAGTATGTTTTATTCCCTATGGGAACTAATTTTCTAAATTATCTCTAGCAGTGGAATAAAAAGGCAAATACGTAGTTATGCAGTCTTTGATTTTTTAAAATAAATTGTATATATTTTACTATAATGTTAAAGTATTATAGATTATTTTGAAAATTTAATCCCTGAGATACAAGTTGGAAAAAGATAAGATTAAAAGTCTCTTATTTCTGGTCGCCAACACTTGTCGGTTATCAAGTCCGTAAATAAATTTATCAGATAACAGATATCAGGCGTAATAGTTATATTTCTTGTCTTCACTGATTATTGACCAGTTGACTAAATACTTTTGAAAAAGGAACTATAAAAGTAATCACTACTGGAAACTTCACACTTTGTAAATTGACTACTATTTCAGACTACAATTGTGTTAATAACAAGTTATAAGTCATTACGCTTTCATTTGATACACTTTTCATAGAATAATATTTTAGTGTTAATAATACGTTTTTCAGACTCTACATTAATGTATAGAGAGCGGCATTGCAGTGTTTGATGATTTCAGGTGGTCTATCATTATCTTCGTCATACATTTGTCAAGAAAGATGGTATGTCATACGTTGAATGAAAAATGTTATATGACAAATTATTTATGTTGTGCAATGGTTATTTAAAGTAAACTCTTTTCTGTATGCCCGTTCAGGAACTTAAGTCTTAAATCTTCAGATTTTAGAATGTATATTTAAGTTTATTGCTTGAAAGGAATGGCCATATTTCAAATTCCAAGATGTACATTTGAATATTCTGTGTAACAGACAATTTAGACAAACTTCAGTAATAAAATTTTTAAATTCTGATTTTATTTTTTATTTCTTTCCATACATTGTTCGTAAAATTTATTGTTTTTATTTGTTCTCAGTGTAATAAATTTCTCATTTATTTTCGTATAATTATTTTATATTAATTAATCCTACAGAATTCGATTGCATCATTAAGTCGTTTATGCTCTTGTGCTATTCTACATCATATCTTCTATGTATTTCATTCCAATGGTTTTCTAAACACTGAAACATCTGATTTCGATTCAGATAATTCATCTAATATCTATTCCAAATCTAGTCGAATACGTGATCCAGCACAATTGATCGTGCCAAATATGATGAAAAATAATCGATTTCGAAAATTATACATCATGTTAGATAAACTTCCATTGCCTAGAGTTGAACGACGTCGTTTACAACGTGATGCTTTTGCTGTATTAGCTCGAGGAATGGCTGATTAACATCGATATCATGCATATTATTCTCAAGAATTATTATCTATTTTCTATTGTGTATATTACAAAAAAAATGAATAATTTACAAAAATAAAAGAAGAAAACATACAACTCACCAAGTGTCTTTCATCATCATCATCATCATGATTATTATTAATTAATTAATTAATTGTCTTCAATATTAATTAAATACTTTAAAATGTATGTGTTATGACAGAGAGAGAGAGTTGGAGTGGGAAGCAAAGTTGTATCAACAAAAGGGTGAAAACCAATCAATAGATTTCCTACTTACCATTCAATAATCTACATTTCATTTTATTTCATTTATTTATTTGATCAAATCAGATTTGAAAGTACATAACTTTTTCCGCTTAATGTCTTGTTTTACTCGTACACATTTTCATTTATTTCTTTATTGTACACAGAATATAACTCTGATTGAATCATGAAAAAAAAAACTGTCGAAAAAAAATCCCAATTCCAATAAAATTGTTTTTTGTAAAAAAGAAATACTTGAAATTCTATTATTTAGTATGCTTGTGTATTTTTGTATGACATGTCTATGTAAATTTTTTTTAAATCAAAGTACATTTACAAATCTGATTCATCAGTAATTGATGATATTGGTCTAAGCAAGGTTTTCACTTAATTAAGAGGTTATAAAAATTGTATTATACAAGTAATACCACATATTCGTGAAGTCAAATGTTGTTCTTTCTGTTCCTGTGTTCCATAAGTCAACTAGTAGTAGAATGCCAACACAAATTGATTTGGTAAACGCATAGTACTTCGTGGTTATTAAATAATACTAAGATTTATACTAATTAATTTTTACTTAGAATCATCGTCGAATGAACAACTTTATCTTCATGATACAAGAAATTGCTTATTCATATTCATTGATCATGTATAATGTGATCTTCACTAACTAACTAAATAATCGACTGTATAGATATAAATATACTTTGATAAAAATGTGTATTGTCCATTATCTAAACTGTCTCTCATACAACCTACTTGTTTTTTCCAGTTTTTAAAGCACAGAATCTTGTAACATAGTCTCAGTGTTGTATCACTTATTCATAAGATTTCACAAAAGATATTGATTTGCAGAGATGATATTTACTATTCGGTTATTAATGTACAAAAAAAATAGAATATGATTTATCACAACTAAAACTTGCTCACGTGTGTGTTACTAGTGTACAGCGCTTTATTTCGTCCAATCGAATTGTTAATACACACATTTGTCAAATGATCATGGTAGCATTACATTTATTCATAAATACTGGTGATTTTCTAATGAAACAATTACAAACATAATCTTAAATTTTTATATAGTATTATCTATATACATTACTAATGGACTATGTTTATGGAATATTTATTACTGGAAATTGTTTAGTGCTAGAGTAGAATACTTTGATAGAAGTCTAATTAAAAGAATATCATGAAGGTAAAGTAGTAGCTTAATTGTTAAATTATTTTCAACTGTTGGATTACAAGCTCGAGCTCTATTCAACTTATTTTTGTCTAAACAATATGTTAATCTATCTAGCTCACACTGAAAGCACAACTAAAAGTCGAATAGATGAACATTCACTTGATGAATGATTCACATTAGCAATTCGCAATTATTGCACTAAATAGAATATCAAAGTTTTATGTTTTGGCCTTTCTAAAACGTTCTACACCCAACTGCCTGGTAATCAAAAACTTATGCATTTACAAATATGATATTTCTGAGACTGAATAAACGTATAATCGGTATTTCAAACCACTAATTTAATAACGGAAATTTTGTGCATTTTTATGCGTATATCAATCCTTATATTCATCATGGAAATGGTTGATTATTTGAACTTCGTCGTCGATAATAATTTCATTCTTTGTACTGCTCTCTAATATGAAAACACAGCTCAGAAGTTTTTATTTTCAAATAGACAATATTCAGAACAAAGTAGTCAATCGTTTTAAAGGATCACTATAAGTGTAGCATGGTATGATTTTGTACAATTTCGGAAACATGATACTCACATAGGTTTGTATGAGCCGAAAAACAGCTTACTGTCACAATCCAGTCCTTTGGTAGCTGCTGATTTAACCTATCAGATCATTTCGAAAAATGCACATTATTAAAATAAATGTCACGTTCACTGTAAATCACCAGAAATAAACTTAAATCATTTCTCTTCCTTTGCAATTTAAAGTCATAACTTTTTATTGATATTTAGTTAAAAATAGTCGAATAGTTTGAAAAAACTTTTCATAATTAACTGATTCAGAGTAGATTTAAGAGAGTATTATATCAAGGAGTTGTGCACTGAATTGAAAAAAAATATCCCTTGTTATTCTTTGTTTTTGATGGTTCTCTAGACCACATACGTTCATCGATTAGACTGTGTTACTAATTTTGTTTGATTGAAACTTTTGTTTACTTATATTTATTTATTCTAGTTATTGATTCCCAATGCCATCAAATAAAAAAAGTGCACTTCGTCAAGTTAGCAGAAATTTACGAGCAGAAATCGATGTGTTGAAAGCTCAAATTGTACAAATGAAAAATGACTTATCTCAATCGCGTACTGTTCGTCCTAAAATTGATCAAATGAGCACTGAAGTTGTTGATTCCAATCCATACAGTCGTCTTATGGCACTTCAACGTATGGGAGTTGTTACAGATTATGCTGCGTATGTAGTTTGTATGATTTTTCAATGAAATGTATCGCTGTTAAAAGATTTTTATTGATTATTACAATGAATTATGCCCTACCTTGACATACAGACGCAGACTAGAAGTTAATATTGATGATGTCTAGATGACCAATGAAAGTTTCACAATTAAACTACCGAACTCAATGAATGCAGCTCTACCAAAATGTTTAAACAATTTTTTTAAAATTCACATTTAATTTCATTTAGTACACAAAGCTCTCTACTCGAACACCCACTGGTCGAGTGAGAGCTTATGGCGAACTGTCGCCGGAATTCTCTACTTCAAGTGGTGTCCGTCAGGGATGTCCACTTTCTCCATTCTTGTTTAATTTTATCATAGACATGCTGCTAGAAATAACCTTATCCTCGTCTGAATTTTCTGGAGTAGACCTTTTACCAGGTGGCTCGCTTATTGACTTAGAATATGCCGATGACATAGTCCTACTTGGTGAAGACGCTGACAAAGTGCAGAGTCTTCTGACTGCCCTAAGCAACAATGCAAGCATGTTCGGGATGCGGTTTTCCCCCTCGAAATGCAAAATGTTGCTTTAAGATTGGGTTGCATCGGCACCTGAACTAGTGATAGGGAGTGAAGTAGTCGAACGTGTAGGCCGCTCCACTTATCTTGGGAGTCTCATCAGTGCCGATGGCCTGGTGACTGACGAAATCTCAGCTCGGATACAGAAAGCTCGATTGGCTTTTGCCAACCTGCGTCACCTATGGCGCAGGCGTAGTTCGCTCCGTCCTACTGTACGGATGCGAGACTTGGCCGTTAATAGTAGAGGACTTCCGTAGGTTACTAGTCTTCGATCATCGATGTCTCCGAAGCATTGCTCGTGTATCCTGGGACAACCGAGTAAGCAATGCTGTCGTTAGGAAACGAGTTCTAGGTGGGGATGGCAAATCAATAGATGAAGTAGTGAAACTTCAATTGAGGTGGTTGGGACATGTGTTACGTATGGCTAACCACCGACTGCCTCGACGAGCTATGTTTTGTGGTGTAGGAGTAGGTTGGAAGAAAGCTATTGGCGACCAAACCAAAACATGACAGAAATCCATGAAATCACTGACAAGTGGGCTGAGTCATGTTGGTAGATGTAGACTACCTGGTTGGGGTCAGCGAGACGATAGTCATCAGTGGTTAGAGAGCTTGAACGACATGGCTCGAAATCGTTTGCAATGGCGCGGGTGCATCCACTCTTTGTGTTCTATGAAATTCTAACCTTCTGAATTCTTCATAATTTCTTTCTCCTTCTAAATTTATATCACTGAATTATACTCCTCAAATCGTGTCTTTGCTCCCTAATCTTCTCTGTGCTGATGTGGTATGGCAACGTGAACTGATGCACTTACGTACGAAGTTCTGCCTTTTATTTGTCTGTCTGTCAGTACACAAATGGATACTGATGTTTGCAACAAATAATATAAATATTATTAGTCACACTTGAACCTCAAAACTACTGATAGAAAGTTTAACACCCTAATAACAAACGCTCTAGTAATACTAATATTGTACTCAACCAATTAATTAATTCATACAGTTAGATAAACTATCAATCATATATATGTAGACAAAATCTACCCTAGTTGTAAAAGTCCATTCATCATTACTGGTACAAAGATAACCAATAGAATTCAACTGATTCATTTAATAATCAAAAATTTATCTACAATCATATGAATTCTTGATTTTAAAAAAAATGTACCTGATGATAATTGTCTGATAAATTCATCATTACAATTACCTAGATAAAAATTGATATGAGTAATTCTAATGAAAAAAAAATAAATTACTTAGAATAAAATAGTTTTTATCTTTTGATCAGTTTTGATTAAATTAAATGTCAATCACCAGTTCTCAGTATTTGAAACCATATTACAAATAATTTTCTTTTCATTTTTAAATATAAAAAAACATGTTTTAATAAATTAAAACAACGTCACGAATTTTGGTCGTATTTACTAGAATAGTGTAATTTATTGATTACCAACATTCATCAGTTCAAATGATCTTTCTTCATAACAAGTAGAATACAAGTTGTTAACATAAAATAAGCAAAATAATCTTAACCTCAATCTAATGTAAGTTTTCTTCGTTTGTTCACTTGACTGAAAAGAATTATCATCTCGCCTACATTGCAACGTACTAGGCTGAACAAAAATTTTACAATTTAAATCACGAACTGACCTGAGCTAGACAGTCTTTAAAAACCAGGGACAGTTGTTTCACTCTATTATGGGATTCCCCCATAGTGCACATCTACAACTCCGAACCCGGAAATCGGACCCACAATCTTTAATCTCGTGCGCCAGCTCTCAAACTCTAAACCACTTAGCCGGCATTCAACGGTGTCAGTGTCTAAGCTCAATCAACCGAAGATCCTGGACACAGTTCTTAGATTCAGGGTCTTGGGTACTCACTGTGGAGGAGTCTCCTACTAGCTGAGATTGGCTCGTCATGTAAATTGGTGAAATTCTTCACTGTCCACCATTTCCTCTACTACTAAAGTCAAAATTATGAAGTTGTTTACTTGACCAATTAGAACGTTACCTCGTACAATTAGTGATAATTTATGTTAAAATATCTTTCATAAGTAACTTGTTTAAGTAGCACTTCACAATGATCTAATTCACTCTTATTCAGTTCTGTTTTAAATTGTTCAGAATTCGAGAAAAGACTGTTGCTATAGTGGGTATTGGTGGTGTTGGATCAGTGACTGCTGAAATGCTTGTTAGATGTGGGATTGGGCGTTTGATTTTATTTGATTATGATAAAGTGGAGTTGGCCAATATGAATCGACTATTTTTTCAGGTAAATAAAAATTAGTATGATTTTTGTCCTGTTTGTTTTTTATTTTATCAATATTTTACTCTGTCAGTCAGTCAGTCAGTTACAACGTAGAACTTCGTATGTATTGTACATCAGTTCAAGTTGCCATAATACTACATTAGCACAGAGATCCAATTGTCAATTCGAATTCCGTAGTAGTAGAGGTAGTAGAAGTATTAACAGTAATCAAAAAGATTAATGATCAAATACATCAGTCGAGCTGTATACCTCAGAGGAATCAGTTTACAAAAAGCGGAAAACGGTTATAAGGAATTCATAAGATTAGAATTTCACAGAACACAAAGAGTGGATGCACCTGCACTATTATAAACGATTTTGAGCTATGTCGTTTCAGGTCTCTAACCATCGGTTACCATCGTCTCACGGACCCCAAGCTGATAGTCTACACTTGCCAACATGACTCAATCCAGTTGTCAGTGACTTCATGGATATTTGTACCATGTTTTGGTTTTGCCGCCCCTAGGTTTCTTCCAGCCTACTCCTACACCGCAAAACATAGCTCATCAATATTTTAGGATTGTGATACACTTCTAAATTTAGGAAGAAAGTTTTCAACGATCGTGTTATCTGAACACAAATATGTGAATAGTATTTTATTATTCCTTACGCTTCTGCTATGATCAGTGTCATGATTTATATTGTATTAGCTTCGTTCTCAGTTCCCCTTTTCTGTGTTAATATGATGTTTGTTTGTGTTAAACTGAATTGATACAATCTATTCTTAGTTTCTTCATCAAAGTACAAACTCATTACTTTCCAGAAGTCAACAAAGATTTTCTTTTGTCGTTATTATTGTACCTTCCTCAACTGCAGGAAGCTTTTAAATCACGTGTTTCTTCTTTATTGTAACTATTTTACGTGTCTTGCCATGTTAATTTACAGGGAGTAGGTTACAAGCCTCACTAAATTACTTTTTCATATCAGCCAGTTGGTTTGTATGGAACAGAAACGATTTACCGCTGAAAATGGTAATTAGACGCTTGAGTCGTTTCATATTTTATTCGTCATGGCCATGTGTGTCACCTAGAATACTTGGATTCCTTGCATATACAAACAAATGCTCGTTGATATTAGTGATGGGGAGTCTTTAGATATTAAAATAAAGAAGATCTTGTTTGATTAGGTTCTTAAATTATTAAACTAAAAATTAATTGTCTTTTGTCGTGTTCACTCCTGATATATTTGAAATAAAACAGTGTGGAATGATTGTGTTGGAGATGTTAGATCCCCAGAACTCGCCCGATAAATGCCTTATTTTGGATTTCACGTTTGCGAGCATGGGCCGATCAGTTGACCTTGAGATTCCATTTCCCACCAGGAAAATCCATGGCTGTGATTGGTCGCTGTGTATTTTAGTGTGCTATTTTCGTAACTGTCCCAAGTACGTTTCTAAGATGTATAAATAAACGAGAGTTGTGTGCTTGATTGCATTGTGCTTGCTGGGTGTTTGTAGAATATACTTTCTACGCTTACCAAGACTTCTGTTTACAGCTGGTAATTGTCTCGTTCGCGTTTATCGACTAAGGTGAACTCGTAAATAGCTCCAAGCGTATCTAGTGACGAGCATATCAGATAGTGAATAAATGTGTAAGTGTTTTATATTTTAGCGAGGCATTATTGTTTAACGAATATAAACTGATTTTAAAATCCAGTTCATAGTAGCACTTCATAGCTGGGCTCAGTCTATAGAACACTATTGATTGTGAGTTTGGTTTTCGTTTCTATTAAATTGTCATCCGTCAAATACATAAAACAATATTTGTTAAATTATCTTTAGCTAAAAAACCTAAATTTTGACTTTCACTAAACTCATTTACATACTACTTCACTATTTTCATTTTCTATTGTTTTTCTTTCCCACAGCCTCATCAATCTGGTTTGAGTAAAGTTGCAGCGGCAGCCTCTACTCTTAGTTTTATCAATCCAGATGTACAAATCGAAGCATATAATTATAATATAACCTTAGTAGATAATTATGATCATTTTCTTAATCGTCTAAAACATGGTGGTTTGATAGCTGAAAATCCTGTTGATCTTGTGTTAAGTTGTGTTGACAATTTCGAAGCTCGTATGACAATCAATAAAGCATGCAATCTTCTTGGTCAAGTTCGTATTGTTTTTATTTTTATATTTTGTAATGAAACATAAGTATTTACTATTTATTTCCGTATATTTTATGATAAACTACTTCATAGATTCAATGTTAACTTAAAATTTTGTTTTTATTGTTTAAAATAACTTGTTTAAGAGTACATTTATGTAGAAACAATTCTAAAACATGTAATATTAAAAACCAAATCAAATTAAAACTCAATTAAAGGGGACATTACAACAATAGGATTTATAAATAAGATGAATAGTAAATACACTTACTAGAATAGATTTTGAATTCCCATCACTCCATTATCAATTACTGTTTCCTGTTGTCATAAAGAAAGCAACTGAACGAAGTTATCTATTGTATTTGTGAAATCCTTTTCTAAAACAGGATAGTACTCACTAATTCACTGACTACATCATCTGGTTTTAAGCATGATATAGCTTTCTCTCGAGGTGCAGGCAATCCATACTGTTAGCTGATGAAGCACCACTTTAGGTCGACTAGGATATGATAAGCGGTGATTACTTATAGTTAAATGGGGATACAACTAGCTATGTACTACAGAACAGACTAACTGAAGCAGTGAAAATAACTTTTATTATGAGTTGATCACTGTCTATAATTTCCTAAGTTGACTTATAGTAGTTCCTCATCTACAATTTAAGTAACCTTGTTTTGCCATATTTATGTGCGTTTACGAATCCAACTGTTAATCTTTAACTTTCAAATTACTTATTTGAAGCTACTTTAAAGCGGTTTTAGTTTAGACATCTGAATAGTATTTCATGGTCTCATCTAATGTGTATGGACTTTAGCTTGACCTGGAAATACATATGTATTGAGTCGACTTGTTTCGTGCTAACGTTGATAGATCGATTTCATATAACGACTCCGTCGTCGATTTTGTATTGTAGTTATAAAATTTTCTGAAGTGCAACTTTTACTAAAATTTAATTTAATTTACTTCAGGTTTGGTTTGAATCTGGTGTTAGTGAAGATGCTGTTAGTTGTCATATTCAACTTATGTATCCTGGTCGAACACCATGTTTTGAATGCCTGCCACCATTAATTGTGGCCAGTGGATTGGATGAAAAATCACTTAAACGTGAGGGAGTATGTGCAGCATCACTTCCTACTACTATGGCTCTTGTTTCTTCATTATTAGTTCAGAATACTTTGAAATATCTACTGAAATTCGGCGAAGTATGTTTTCCCTGTTGTTCAAGTTTTATTTTTTTCATTTAAGTTTTGTGGTGTTCTGTTTATACATTTTGTTCATTGCAGGTTAACAGTAACTGAAGTTTTCATAGGACTTTTTGATATCAAACCTAGTGGTTCTGTGATAACTTGGGGATCTCTTCTGTTCCTATGGTGTTTCATGATAAAATATTTTTTATGGTACTGGTCATGGCTGTGACTGTGTATGCCCTAGTGTCCCTATTCAAATCTGTCAATTAGTAAGGTTGTATATCCTTCCGTCTGTTTTGTTTTTGTCAACTCAATATTAGCGTTAAACATCAGTCACTCAGTCGGTTACAACATAGAACTTCGTACGCACGTACATCAGTTCAGGTTGCCATACCACATTAGCACAGAGACGCAATTGTCACTTTAAATCCCAAAGTAGTTGAGGTAGTTGAAGTATTAGCAATAATCGGAGGGGTAGGGGTTCGAAGACATTATTCAAGAAGTATTATTCAGTGAAATAAATTTAAAAAGGGAAAGATAAAGGGTGATGAGGAGTTCAGAAGGTTAGAATTTGAGAGAACACAAAGAATGAATGCACCTGCGGCATTGCAAACGGTTTTCAGCCACATCGTTCAAGGGATGTGAGAAGGGTAAGTCTTAGAGATAAGACCGATGTTAGGAGGTGTAGGAAGGATTTGATTTTGACCAGTTTTGTCTCGCGTGCTGTTACAGGTATGAGGGGGGATATCACTTCCCCGGCTGTCCACACCATGGAAGAGTGTTTCTTGAGGAACCTGAAAAGGAAGTTAGGTTGGCATTGGTCTTAGATACCTGGGAGCGTGACTGCAGAGCCTAAGGGACAACTGCTTGAGGTCGGTCATTCAAGGCCTTTTTATGAGCAGCTTTTGAAGTGTTAGCTCCGCTGTTTTTTAAAAGCTTTACCACCGGAGACGGAAATCCGTGAGGTAAAGTGAGGTGTGACATTTTTAGTCAACCTTTACTAACCCCTTCCTTCCTTCCTTGTGAGAAGGCAGCATCGCTGGAGATGCTGGTTGTCCGAGGGAAACACCTTACTGCTATCACACCTCTCTACAGTCAGCAGTACGACTTCACCCTCAGACCTTGGGTAGCTGCTTTTAGTCTCATCGTTCTTCAATCGACCTGCCTGGCATGGTAGAACCTACAGAAAAACATGTTCCAGTCAATATAGTTCGGTTGGGTCATTACGACAGGCAAGCCCGACCACCACGTCAAGGTAGCAGCTATGGTCGGGAATGTTAAATATGGCGTAAATGATATGCTTATTAACTTAATACATTGATACTCAATACTCATTAGTATAATCAATAATTAGATTATGTTTAGTTTAGTTAATTGTCGACTTCCTAATTCTTCAATGGATATTTCTCATTCATCTAATTAGATTGATACTTTACTAGTTACTTTTCATATACTATTTTACTCTTTTATCAATCACATTTTTATACACGTGTTAATAACTATGTTATGTCAGCTTAGTAAATTTCTTTGAATTTCACTAATTTTCCTCAATAAAAACCAAATGATAATCAATTTTTCAAAATAAAAAAAACATTTTTATTCATTAAACTGATGATTTTCGAGTGAAGTTCTAATTTATTCTCTATTCGTATGTACAAAATGGAATTCGATCTTATTACTTCATGTAATCTACCTGTATCATGTGAATTGTTTTATTATCTTTTTTTTGGAAATGGGGAATTATTCAACTTAAAACGATTACTTTTTTGTATATTCATAATATCATGCATCTGTATTCGATTGCGACTAGTAACCTTTTACTAGGTTCCGATCTCTCCAGATAATCTGTGATGATTGTGTATTAGATAGCATTTTTCTTCCATCCATTGGAGTTTCCCTGCGTGGGTTCGAATCCCATTCCCGTCGCCGAATATTGGGTTCGTCACTAAGTATGCTTGAGGCTATTACGAGTTTACCTTAGTCTATAAACGCGAACGAGACTTTTACCAGCGTCCAGGTAAGCTACCTTGAATCCCCAACTAAAGTAAGAAGGCTTTGTAAGCGTAGAAAGTATATTCTACAACACCCAGCAATCACAGTACAATCAAGCATACAACTCTCGTTTATTTAAACATCATAGAAACGTCCTTGGGACAGTTACGAAAATAGCACACTAAAATACACAGCAGCCAATCACAGCCATGGATTTTCCTGGTGGGAAATGGAATCTCAAGGTCAACTGATCGGCCCATGCTCGCAAACGTGAAAACCAAAATAAGGAATTTGTCAAGCCAGGTTTGGGGATCTAACATCCCCAACAGACCAATTGCGATACTGTGACATAGCTGATGTTTTTTAGATAACAGAGTGTTACAATGGTGTGTTTTGTGCTTGTTATTTTTTATAAATCACATTTAATTGTTTTGGCAAAGCCGGAGTTTTATTGGTTGTCAACTTATATGTCCATCTGATCTACACTCGTAAATGTATTAGTGTTCTTAGAAATAGTTAAAACATACTAGTTTTTAAATTGTTATAAATTATTATTTTTTTTAAATGCAAGCCTAAAAACAGCATCACTTTTCTTTGCTTATTTTTCTATAAAAGGTTTCTAGTTATTTAGGTTATGGAGCAGCTAAAGATTCATTTTATCGTGTTAGTTTGAAAGCAAATCCAGATTGTGCTGATTCATGGTGTAGTCAACGTCAAACAGAATGGCGTAATTATTTACAACAGTTGAATCTGCCACTGGATTCTCCTTGGGATATTGAAGAACGTCTAAAAGCTGATCAAATTAAACAAGAAAAGCTTAAAGAAGCATTAAACAAATCAGAACCTGAGGAAAATGATTTTGGTATTGAGTTAGAATCCGAATCACCGAGTCTTACAGCATCCGCTTGTCAGATCAAAAATAACCTATCTGGTTGTAATTCTGAAATAGATGGTGTTAAAACATTGTATGCAATGAATAATGAGAAATTTGATCCAACCTCTCCAGACATATCAAATTCTTTTGTTTCACAGACAAATGATAGTCTTGAAACACTCATGGCTAAAATGAAAGATTTGTGATATAATTTCTGTTGATTAGGAAAGAATATTGTATTCCTTTTTTTCTTTAATGCAACTATTTTCTACTGTTTGTTGTTTGTAATTATTTTGCTTCTTTACTTGTTTGATGTATATGTGATTTACTTACATTATTATTCCGTTTGTTCTCCTTTTATTTCATGAGTATGTCAATAAAAATTATTTTTTGTCTAAATTGATGGTTACTGTAGGAAATCTAATTTTAATTATTATTCAGAGTGATGGTTATAGCAGTGTATTGTAAGGTGCAACCCGGGTCCTTCTAATTTTGAGGCCTCATTTTATAAATGTAACTCATAGCTACGTATATAAAAATGTGCTTGGTGACTGATTTTTATTCTGAAAATTATTTTGTAGTATATAACATTCCAAGTGAATAAATTTATTTGTACTGGATGTAGTAGATTTGTATTCTTTTATTGTGTGGTTGGTTTAGTAACCTGGTTTCATGTCATTTGAGAAATTGTCACCAACCGCGGTTATGCTGAAAAATATCAATATTGTATTCCATATTTGGTGGAATCTTATCCGCAGCAGAAATCTGAGAATCGCAATCATTGACATTTGCTGACAAATCTCAGGCTTGTTTGTGGTTTTAGCACTACTTCCAAGCTTAGTTATTTACGCCTGTTTACCCCCAACGGAGCATAGGCCGCCGACTAGTATTCTCCAACCTGGGCTTCCTTTTCCAACTCTGTCCAATTTTCCTTCATTGCTTCCAAACTAAGTACTTTCATCTATTTTGTTTAGCTACTTATATTTATCATTAGTAGGCTGCGTAATAACAACTTGTTTTCCACTCTCACGGTGTTTTGAAACAGTACTTCATGGGAATAATATCGTTCAAACTGTTATTGATTTTAATCTCACAGTGTATTCTAGCGTACCAAATAATATTTTGTTATTCGGTATGATATAATACTCCAATTTTTAAAAGCTTATTTGATCATACAATCCTTATCACAAGATTCCGTAAAAGGCGTCTCTGAGTTAACTTGTAATCAAAGGTGTATAGTTTTGTAAAGATTTCAAGTGATATCAGGTGGTGATTTTATTATCAACTGTACTATAACTTAGTGGGATAGTCTTTAAGCTTTGTTGTATTATTCGTTTAATTCTCATTAATTAGATAGCAATGTAAGAATAATGCGTGAAAATCGTGGTTCTAATGTGTGGAAAAAAAGAGTATTCGACATAGTCCAGATGGGCTAAGTTAATTTGAAATAAATCATTGTGAACAACAGATAAGTGAGTGATATTTTTTTACCAAAATAAAGAATGTGTGCTTCGTGGTAAAGTAAGTAAGTGCTCTTAAATTGATGGGAAGTTGGTTTCGCATGTATTTTGTAAATTAAATATGCGCTAATCGATTTCAATTCCTTTGATTTGTTGAAGGAAATGAAATAATATAACCTTTTTAACGAAAATCCGAATAGAAATACTTTATTGTGAGTTTTGGAAGTCATGGATGTAGGAGAGTACCCGCGAACAATATGTTATGTAAATCCTTGATCCGGTAATCAGTTAACCTTTTAGAGAATAAACAAGCGTATGATATGTACCTAAATATGACCCAAACGTTTTGCTGAGGTACATATCAGATGACAAATTGTTCGGTACAAGGATGTCTCAAGGCTGGCCCAATGGGAATTTTCTTAGGAATTTTGATGAAGTGTGATATTTTAATTTAACTATCTTATCTAGATGAAAATATTATCTAATGTAATTCCGTGTAAATTCTGAAGATGTAAAAGTTTTGTTCATTCCTCATAATCTGTATTCTTTCAGTCATTGTGTGTCATATTGATGAAAACTAATCTCAAAAGCTATGAAGAATTTTATGTTTAAGGAATAGAAAACTTGTTAAATCCTGGATAAAGGGAAGTATTATATTCGAACGGTCGTTATTTGGTGAAATACGTGGTATATATTCGACTTATGTCTACCGCATATATGTTTAGTGGTGTCTTAATATGATCCTAACTCATAAACCAATCATATATCATCATACACTTTACTTGTGTAAATAGGTGAGTCATGAAGCTCAATAATCAAAGATACTTAAGACAATTCATCTGGTCTTCGATTGTTTAAGTTCCACGCTTCTAAAAGTGATAGTTGGTATGGTCTACCGACCGCGTGAAAAAGTAGTGATGGGTTTCATGAATTCGTCGTTAGTAGGTTAAATAATATAAAACAGTTCCCTGTAATCCTCAGAACGAAAATTTTGTGACATTTTTAATGACCAGTACATGTAATGTTCTGTGGGTTTGTTCTCCATTATATGATTTTCCTACGGCTTTGCTTTCACTGTCAGCACTACAACTTCACCCTCAGACCTTACGTTGCCGTGTTAGTCTTACCATCCTCAAACCAACCTACCGGGTAGTGTCTACAGTGAAACGTATACCAAAGGATTAAATTAACCTTCTTCAGGTTCTCTACTCGAACACTAATGATCGAGTCAGGGCTTATGGCGAACTGTCATCGGAATTGATTACCTCGAGTGGCGTTCACCAGGGTTGTCCACTTTCCCTATTCTTACTCAACTTTGTCATAGACATACTTTTAAAGACAAATATTTCATCATCTGACTTTTCAGGATTTGACCTCCTACCAGAAGATTCACTTGTTGATTTAGAATATGCCGATGACATAGTTCTACTTGCGGAAGACGCTGACAAAATGCAGAGTCTTCTGACTACATTAAGCAACAATGCACACGTGTGTGGGATGTGATTCTTCACCTCGACACGGAAAATGTTGCCTGTGAAACATGGCCAGTAAGAGTAGAGGACATTCGCAGGTTACTAGTGTTCGATCATCGGCGTCGCCGAAGCATTGTTTTTATTTCTTGGGATGATCGAGTAAGCAGTGCTGTTGTGAGGAAAAGGGTACTACGTAAGGATGGAAAATCAATGGATGAAAGTATAAATTTATATTATCTAAGGGGTTTGAGACATATGCCCAACAACCGACTGCCCCGACGAGCGATGCTATGTGATGTTAGGTAGGTTAACGAAATCTAGGGGTGGCCGAACCAGATCATAGTACAAATCTATGAAGCCAGTGACAAGCGGACTGAGTCATGTTGATAGGTGTAGACCACCTGGTTTGGGATCCACGAGACATTAGTAACCGATGGTTAGAGACTTTGAACGGTATGGCTAAACACTGTTTGCGACGGCGCTGGTGCTTCCGTCCTTTGTCTTCTCTTAAGTTCGGATCTTCTGAATTCCTCTCTTTGAGTTTTTTCAATGGGATAAACAGATCTTCTATCCCTAGTCTTTTACATTACCGCTAATACTTCTACAACCTGTATTACTATTATATTTCAACTGCTGATTGTATCTCTGTGGGCTAGTATGGTATGTCAACTTGTACGTACACACCAAGTTCCGAGTTGTAGTGTAACGCATTCGAAACCTAACTCCTCTATCAACTCCTAGTTTCGTTTATCATTGTGTCTTGATTTCACACTGGCTTTATATCTGGTTGCTGTCTATTTATTCGTATATTGCATGTAAGTGCATTCTGTGTGCTTACTGAGTCGTTGGCTCATCTTTTTCTCTTGTTCTTTCTTCTTCCAGATAATCTCATACGCTTCTCCTCACATCTTCCCCCAGCACACAAGGTACCTTCGGGTAAAACGCAAACCAACCAAAGGCTGAAGTTACAGTAGCTGACTAACAGACTGGATTTACTTTCCATCTTTATTCATTTTAGTAATAACTTTTGGGGATTACTTTCCACCAGACTGTATTTCTCGATCTGAACTAAATAGTTGAGATCTGTTGGATTTGGCTGATTTTATAATATCTAATATTAGTTCTGTAACCTGAATCCTTATAATACTGTGAAATTGAGAAGTAATTTGATAGGAGTTATTTGATAATCACCATTATTCTTACAGATACCAAGAATAATTACATTTGTGATCAAAACGATGCCTTGCAACTCCTCAATACTATCGGTCAATACCTATTCAATTAACTCAAACGCATGATGAAAACTCAAACTACTACTTATTTTATTCAAATCGATAAACTTCGACAAAAAAATTTAAATCAATGAAAATAAATTTAAACTTACATCATTAGTTGCTGATGACGATAATCTTCTACATCAAGAAAGAAAAGAGATGAACAATATGAACTGTCAATTGATTTTAAACTAATCGTTATTGAGTTAGTTTTATTATTATTATTTAAAAACAAAAGAATCGAATATCAGGAATACTTCAGCTTGCCTTTTGATTCTTATAACAGTTATAGCTACTTTGCTACTTAATACAATGTTCCATAATAATTAAAGAAACTTATCAGATGATTACGAAAGAAAAAAGTACGAGAACAGTAAACAAAATTTACAGTTTTATTTATCTCATATGACTTATTTTTGATGATAAAAACCTAAGCGATCATATAAACTTGCTAAAAGAGAATATGTACAGTTTTCGTAAATAAGAAACCATACTTTATTCAGTCCTGTAAATGCTATCAATTTATCTAATTTAAAGTAGACTAAGTCGATTCAGACCTCTGGTACACAGTTGTAAATCAAGTTTCTAGATCATTGGACTGAGTTTGACAAACAACTGCATATTAATAATACTTACTTACTTACACCTGTTAGCTCTAATCGAGCATAGGCGGCTAACTAGCATTCTCCATCTTACTCTGTCCTGGGCCTTCCTTTCTAGTTCTGTCCAGTTGTTGTTCATTATTCTCATGTCCGTTTCCGTTTCTTGGCGTAATGCGTTCCTCAGCCTTTCTCTTTTCCTTCGACCTTGAGGATTACAAGCGAGGGCTTGTCTCGTGACGCAGTTGGGTGCTTTCCTCATTGTGCGTCCTATCCACTTCCACTGCTTCTTCCTGATTTCCTCCTCCACTGGAATCTGGTTTGTTCTCTCCTACAGTAGACTGTTTCTGATAGTGTCTCGCCAACGGATCTGAAGTATTTTGCTTAGACAACTGTTAATGAGCACTTGTATCTTCTGGATGGCGGCTTTCGTAATTCTCCAATTTCCCGCCCCATATAGTAGGACTGTCTTTTGCATTGAATTTCCTGACTTTGGTGTTGGTTAACTGTTGTTTTGAGTTTGAGATATTGTTCAATTGTAGAAATGATGTCCTTGCCTTGCCTACCCGCGCTTTTTATTCAAACATATAAATGACTTCACTAATACTACTACATCTGGTAATCTTATTGAAAATAATCTTATTTTATTGTCATTTATTTATCAAGGAACTAATTTCAAATCATAATGAAAGTATCCAATAAATGACTTGAAGTGGCATTAAAGTAAATCATCTCTTTGAATAAATGTGAAATTCTTCTACTTTCAAAAAGACTATCAGATAAAATCTAATTTATAAAATTGTTTCATACATTTAAAGACTAAGTTCCTATCGACAAAATTATGGATTCTAACTTACATCTACTCACCTTAACTAATTATGATCAGTAATTTTAACATAGTTTATGAATCAAGACAGCCAAGTAGTGGACTATAGATATATTTATCTTTTCTGATCATTCTAACTATAGGATCATCATAGAATTAGTATTTTCAAAATAGTATCTATCTCCTCAATCAAGTATTGTATTTTAACAATTACTTACTTATTGAATAGAAAATGGCAGGTGTCTTGAATTATTTTTTCTTTTTTTAAACAAATGATAATTGTTTGTGTAATTACTCTTTATATCAAACATCTGTTAATAATCATTAATAGCTATTAAGAAGAGGATCATTATGTTAAAATCTATCAAACATATAGATGTATACATATCTTAGTGTAATTAAATGATGTGTATTTTAAGTTA